CCTCACTCACATTTACAATGAACTTGTGTTGCAACTAAAATTTTCTATAAATAGTAACAGTGACACCCTAAAACACGAATTTGCTCAAGGTATAATGACATTTGATCAATATGTGATGTTAGATTAAAATTGGTAGAGAAATGTATGTATGTAGGTAGGAAGGAACAGGACGTTGTATCCAATGTGTGGTTGCCACGAGGGGATTAAAGGTAACAAATCACTACCTGTGTAATGTGGGTATCTAACCTGTAAACCCATTTTTTGTACAAATATTTGTATTTCTGGATTGATATATTGCAGTAAACAGCCATCAAAACTAACAGATTTTAACTGAAGTCTTACTATATGATAAAAATATCTAACTCAACAAGCAAGTTTACGTAAAAAAGAAACAAAAATGATGATTGAATGTAGAAATATTTGTAGATTTAACTTTTAGATGTTGCATAGAAATTAGCTATGTTCACCTCATATTATACTCCTTCCCTATATAATCCTGACTGTGCATGCCAGGATAGTATCACCATCACATAAATTTCTTTAGAAGACAATTATACATGACATGACAAAATCATTGTTAGTCAAGAGTAGAAAATATACATTTAATGTAACACATATTATGGTTTTGTACTTGTTATAATTGATCTGGTTAATACTCAAAGCTTAACATCAAACAATGAGAACTATACAACTTCAAAATCAATGTAACAATTAGTGAAAAGGCATTTTAACATGTTCAGACATTTTTTATGACTCCTGACAAGTCATGATGGGACTTCTTGTGTGACTCAACATCCCCAATAATAAAAAAGAAGCTTTCTGTCTATGTCACTGAGTTTGACTTTAGATATTTTGAATTCAAAAGAATCACATGCAAGAAAAACATGCAAAATATATATTATACATGTAATATGATGTAACTTTAGTCTTTGGTCTGATGAATTCTTGTTTTATTTGGATTACCTTTGTTCTTGACATTCCAAAGGTCAAACCCTGTGACCTTGATCTTTGGTAAGTTAACTTCTTGTTTAATTAACTTTGCTTGATGATGTCAAATGAAAATATAAAAAACCTTACCTTTAGCTTGTTTTTTAAAATAAGTATGTAGATTTTTTAACATAAGTATGTAGATTTTTAACATAAGTATGTAGATTTTTCAAGACCTGAACATCTTTACCAAATTTCATGTAAAGCAGTCGGTGAATACTAAATATATAAGCCAGAAACTGAATTTGTGGACAGACAGAAGGATAAATGGACAGAGTGATAATTGTAAGTTAATACTACAGACCACCTGTATTCATATTTATATCTAAAAGCAGTACTACAACAAAGCCAAGGCTTCATCAAAGTCTAAAGGGACAGGGATGTCATGGTATGACCCACAGACAGGTGAGGTAAAAATCCAGGTACATAGTCAATAACTGTAACTTATACTATTCCTACTGTAATTACTGCTGTTCTTACTGTAACTTATACTATTCCTACTGTAATTACTGCTGTTCTTACTGTAACTTATACTATTCCTACTGTAATTACTGCTGTTCTTACTGTAACTTAACTATTCTTACTGTAACTTAACTATTCTTACTGTAACTTAACTATTCTTACTGCAACTTAACTATTCTTACTGTAACTTAACTATTCTTACTGTAACTTAACTATTCTTACTGTAACTTAAAAAACTATTCCTACTATAACTTAACTATTCTTACTGTAATTACTGCTGTTCTTACTGTAACTTAAAAAACTATTCCTACTATAACTTAACTATTCTTACTGTAACTTAACTATTCTTACTGTGGTTAACTATTCTTACTGTAACTTAACTATTCTTACTGTAACTTAAAAAACTATTCCTACTATAACTTAACTATTCTTACTGTAACTTAACTATTCTTACTGTAACTTAACTATTCTTACTGTAACTTAACTATTCTTACTGTAACTTAAAAAACTATTCCTACTATAACTTAACTATTCTTACTGTAACTTAACTATTCTTACTGTAACTTAACTATTCTTACTGTAACTTAACTATTCTTACTGTAACTTAACTATTCTTACTGTAACTTAACTATTCTTACTGTAACTTAAAAAACTATTCCTACTGTAACTTAAAAAACTATTCCTACTATAACTTAACTATTCTTACTGTAACTTAACTATTCTTACTGTAACTTAACTATTCTTACTGTAACTTAACTATTCTTACTGTAACTTAAAAAACTATTCCTACTATAACTTAACTATTCTTACTGTAACTTAAAAAACTATTCCTACTATAACTTAACTATTCTTACTGTAACTTAACTATTCTTACTGTAACTTAACTATTCTTACTGTAACTTAACTATTCTTACTGTAACTTAAAAAACTATTCCTACTATAACTTAACTATTCTTACTGTAACTTAACTATTCTTACTGTAACTTAACTATTCTTACTGTAACTTAACTATTCTTACTGTAACTTAAAAAACTATTCCTACTATAACTTAACTATTCTTACTGTAACTTAACTATTCTTACTGTAACTTAACTATTCTTACTGTAACTTAAAAAACTATTCCTACTATAACTTAACTATTCTTACTGTAACTTAAGAAACTATTCCTACTGTAACTTATACTATTCCTACTGTAATTACTGCTGTTCTTACTGTAACTTATACTATTCCTACTGTAATTACTGCTGTTCTTACTGTAACTTATACTATTCCTACTGTAATTACTGCTGTTCTTACTGTAACTTATACTATTCCTACTGTAATTACTGCTGTTCTCACTGTAACTTATACTATTCCTACTGTAATTACTGCTGTTCTTACTGTAACTTAAGAAACTATTCCTACTGTAACTTATACTATTCCTACTGTAATTACTGCTGTTCTTACTGTAACTTAAGAAACTATTCCTACTGTAACTTATACTATTCCTACTGTAATTACTGCTGTTCTACACTGAAACTATTCCTACTGTAACTTATACTATTCCTACTGTAATTACTGCTGTTCTTACTGTAACTTAAGAAACTATTCCTACTGTAACTTATACTATTCCTACTGTAATTACTGCTGTTCTTACTGTAACTTAAGAAACTATTCCTACTGTAACTTATACTATTCCTACTGTAATTACTGCTGTTCTTACTGTAACTTAAAAAACTATTCCTACTATAACTTAACTATTCTTACTGTAACTTAAGAAACTATTCCTACTATAACTTAAGCTATTCTTACTGTAACTTAAGCTAATGCTACTGTAGCTAAGGGTATTTCTACTGTAACTAAGGCTATTCCTACTGTAACTTATACTATTCCTACTGTAATTACTGCTGTTCTTACTGTAACTTAAGAAACTATTCCTACTATAACTTAAGCTATTCTTACTGTAACTTAAGCTAATGCTACTGTAGCTAAGGGTATTTCTACTGTAACTAAGGCTATTCCTACTGTAACTTATACTATTCCTACTGTAATTACTGCTGTTCTTACTGTAACTTAAGAAACTATTCCTACTATAACTTAAGCTATTCTTACTGTAACTTAAGCTATTGCTACTGTAGCTAAGGGTATTTCTACTGTAACTAAGGCTATTCCTACTTAACTTATACTATTCCTACTGTAATTACTGCTGTTCTTACTGTAACTTAAGAAACTATTCCTACTGTAACTTAAGCTATTCTTACTGTAACTAAAGCTATTCCTTCTGTAACTAAAGCTATTCCTACTGTAACTTAAGCTATTCCTACTGTAACTTAAGCTATTCCTTCTGTAACTAAAGCTATTCCTACTGTAACTAAGGCTATTCCTACTGTAACTAAGGCTATTCCTACTGTAACTAAGGCTATTCCTACTGTGACTAAAGCTATTCTTACTGTAACTTTTGCTATTCTTGCTGCAACTTAAGCTATTCCTATCAGCTTGTTTGTGTTCAAATGTTAATAACATGAAAACCTAAAGACTCCCAGCACAATGGATTTCTGCCTCGATATTTTTCACATCGGTTTATTACAAAAAATAACAAAAAAAAAAAAGTACACATGTATACATATATTAATACAAAGGCTTTAGATTAAAGCATCACATTTATATTAAGTACAAAATTATTTAATTGATAAACCATTAATGACAAATCATTAACAGGCAAGATATGCATTTTTGTTCCCATCTACAAATCTAATTGACATATAAATACAAACAATTACCGGTATACATATATATTGTTTACCATTGTTAATTTCTTTTAAAACACAACTATAGACCATTTTTAAAAACTGTATTTGAAAAATCACGTTATTTACGTTGGTTTCCTATTAATCTGTGAATGTTCTCTTTAAGAATCATCTGACTAGCACATTGATTACTATCTACACAGTAAATAATAAATCGCACCGAAGGAAAAGTGTAACCTTAAATACAAAGGCTTTACATAATCTTCACCAGTTTTAACATTAAACATACCCCTCAAAGTAACAGTAATACCTGGAAGGTGTAAATACATGTTTACAAGAATACATTATAGGTGTTGCAATCAACATTATGGTCACACATACTTTGGAATCAGTCTCTGTAGAGTTAAGTTTATGAAGCACCTGTACTGGATTTCTAAGACCAAATAACATACCTGGTACCTCTTCCCATTGTCCCACTATATGAAATTTTAAGTTTGTTAAGGTGGTCTATTCAAGATTAAAACAATTTACAAAATACATAACATATAATCATTTGTATATATCACAATGGCTACTAAAAAAATCCAATACACAGTCGACTGTGAATTCTGCACCTGTAATGTCATATACTGCCTTTTTTACAAGGTCATATTTATCTTTCCAGTTTCTTTACACATCTCTTTCAGTCTAGATTAGATCTTATTGTAGAGTAAATAGTGGCAGTATAACTACCAGGTAGGTTTTATTGTACATCATATGCAAAAAAAAAAGTTTTTGCAAACTTGTCTTCTTTTAAACCTTGAACAAAAAATACCTTTCAAATATATATCATAATATCAGTTGTATTCATTGCATTCTAATTACAATGAAATTACAAAACCAGATAAAAAAGTATTTTATTTTCTTATTCACAAATATACTTCTGTAAGAAGAAATTTTTGTTAAATTAGAACTGTTGAAAATAGAATACTGAAGCCTTGATCAATCATCTCTAAATATATTGTGATTTACAAAATCAGCAATTTTGTCTGAATTCTCTTTATGAAACAGCAGGATTCGTAAACAAATAAAGTTACATGTGGAGAAAATGTTGTCTGCTTAATGGTGTACATAACTAAAAACGATATATAAATAATACAAATAATATTAATAACAGTAGTAACAATCTTGGATATCATTGTAACATCACCCACTATGACAGGTGTAGGGCTTGAAAGTACTTACATCGCGATTTGCATAATGAAAATGATGATTGCAATAAAAATTGCAATCATCACTGTGGTACATAAAAGTGCTCTTTTCTTGCGAAGATTGTTCTGGGCATTGACCTACAAATACAAAGCATTATTCTTAATGGAAATACCTTTCAGGAGAAACACTGAAATAGAAACTGATTTCCCTTCGAAAATCTTATACATACAGGAGGAAATTACAGTCACAAATATTGTGATAATACTGTATACCTTACAAATGATCACAATATATGTGTAAAAGTATAGGCTCAAAGCAAAGAAGCACTGAACACAGAGGAATGTTTTTCAGCTGTATTTTTTTGTTTTTTTTTACGAGGGGAGGAGTGGGGGCTTTAACTCAAAGAAGATCCATTATTCTCTTGGACTTCATTCAGATATTCTGGATACAACATAAGGCTGAATGTATCTAAACAAGGTGTAATTTTTGTATATCATATACATACCCCTAAGGATGTGTTGGTGGTAAAGACTGCAGGTGCTTGTCCTGTCGTGTAGGGTTGAGAATTGGGCACATTATACTGAGGCTGTTGACCTGGCATAGGATATACCCCAGTAGCAGGATAACCATATCCCGCCTGTGGGTAAGTTCCTGCAGGATACTGACTAGCTGGTTGTGTCGGGTATGGCTGTGAGCTATTTGTTGGTGCAGGATAAGATGCATGTGGCTGAGGAACAGGATAGGCTCCGTAGGTAGGTATGTTGTAGTTGTCTTTGGGCTCAGTTCCAGGAGGAAATGGTGCACCTCCTCCAGGGTTCTGTATCACTGATTCATACGATGGCGGAGGGTCTTCTGGATGGGTATCTGTTGGACATAAACAGAAAATTATATTACCATGATCGGAATCCAGTGTGTCTGAAAATAGAACACAGGTAAATCCATGGTCATCTATGTGGCTAATGGCTCCAAATTACCATTAATTGCAGTAAGTGGTATAAACTGTCATTTTAGCACCAAGTTAGATAAGGGAAATAAATATTTCCTGTGCATATATATACAGAGTCACAATGACTATTTGGTCGTGTTAAAATGATGACGCCCATTCTGTTGCAACGCTTTCAAAAAATGTGTTTTTATTTCAAACTTTTGGAGAGACTTATTTAAATGCGATTACATTGATTACATATATGTAAATCTCTCTCCATAATGTTTGTGTTTTAACACGTTTTCTTGTCAATATGTACATGTACTTGTATTTTGTTCAACTTTATGGGGAAACGGCTTAACATAAGTTGATAAAGTTGTGCCCGATCCCACAGTATATCCGATACAAAAATAAATGCATCTAAATAAAAAGTTAACACTTGATACTGCCTTTGAGTGACAAATTGATTACCCAAAGCCGTAACTATACCACAAATACTCGGCTTGTATCCTGCTATTACGAAACAGGTTGTTGCAATGTTGGACCAAGTCACACGAACGATGACTTTTTGATATTAAAATTGATACTCAACATCTGAAATATCACTGACGTCCAAGTGTTATAAAATATGTAAGTATTGTTGACATAATTACGTGATTCGGACATGGTTCTCAAGTCGATTGCTTTAGTCTAATATCGATATCCAGTCCAATTGAATATTTCTTTTCCGTTGTTTACATTACTCAGCCAAGCCTTAGGGTAGGAGAGTTACAACACAAGTGCGATAACTCTGAACTAGTAATTGAAAACGGCAAGGAGAGCAATGCCGTTTTTGTGGTTATCATCCATATCAAAGCAACCCAAGGTAAATGTTTATGTTTATGAATGTTAATAGTCGATTTACGGGCATTTAAAATTATCTAGGGATGTTTAGAATTATTTAGGGATACTTAGAAGTATATATGGATATTTAGAATTATTTATGAATGTCCATTAATAAATTATGGATACACATAAAAAGTGTCTTGACTATCCATAACATAGTGATTATATTTCCATGTTAGATTTGCGTAATACCGACTGGGTATAAACGACACAAGAAGGATACATATATATCAGCTTATGTAATGTCTGGCAAGCTGATATGTTATGTTCTGGTATTTTCCGCGAAGAAATGAAACGATGAACAAAACACCAAATACCCACAAGCACATAAAATATTAAAATACTATGACACGAACAGATCTGGCTCTTGTTATCTCTCCTCCTGTTTTAAGTGATATCTGACGCATACTCTTTCCTCTTCTTTTCTTGCTTCTCTGTGGTTGTGTGTTGATGGATCGAGTAATAGTTGTTGAAGCAAGTTCTGTTCATTTTAGCCTATCTCAGCTGTCTACGTATCCTTTGTTTTGAGAAAGATTTTTTTACGCTTTAAGTATTTTGCTGAGGTTGTTGTTCGTTAAGTGTCAAGCTTGTAATCTGAGTGACTTACAAAATGTTGGATTAACGGCTAGCTTTACTGCACAGGGAAAATTAATGTACATATTAATATACCAGGTTGAACGATCATATTGGAAGACAGGTAATTCATGATGCAGTTTCCGCGTGTTACATTGATATATTTCGCTCGAATGGCAAGTAACATTCTAAAACGGCATATTGTCATGTCCAGATTATCGGAAGATATTCAGAAGTCTGTGATATTTTACCCATCACGTAAGAATCACTATCATAAAAAATGGCTATATGCAAACCAAAATATGCACGATGCATACCAATATGACAATGAATGAACGGTAGAAATTTAGAATATTACGCCAAGAGCTTGGACACATTTTAATGATGTTTAATGATATATGTAAAAATTCTACCACGTACGAGACATGACAACATCAAAGTACACGTCGTGTGGACAAGGTCGGTCATGGTTACTGTATTCCGCCACAAGTGCAGATTTTGCGATTTTGGCATAGTTATTGAGGTACCCATTAGAGACGAGAGCGTGACAAAAAGGACGAAACAGTTTAATTCAATGTTTGGCTCTACTGTATAACACTATATATCTAATTATGGGGCTGCTGTACCTACCCGTCTAAATTTGGGCTTTTCTTTTGATCACTTTTGGGTTTTGCTTAGTCGCCTCTTAGTCTTCAAATTTTAGGCCCTTAACATCACTGACGAGTCCGAGAAGGACGAAACAGCTGTATGATGCAGTTTAATTCATTGTTTATCTCTGCTGTATCTCGCTCTATTCTGAAATTGTGCTATTCACTTGTTTGTCTTTTGTACAATTTTCAACCTTAACGGGAAATGTCTACCAAGTCATTTCTACATGTATTTCCAAATTCGTCCGGTCATAACTTGGTTTATACTTGGCCAATCTCGTTCATCAAACACTCATTGGAAAGATAAACATTTTCTCTTCAAGGTAATGTATGTTTTTCTAAGATCTGCTCCTAGAATATAAAAACATCTCATAATTGAAAAAAATGTGTTAAGTTTTTCCTTCTCGGGGGTTACACCCCTTGTCAGTATAATACATATGGACCGTAGGCCGGGAATTCGTGCAAAATCCATGTGACGGGGACTTATTGCGCACCATCTTTATTGCCCCCTCCCCCATCCCAACCCCACTTATGATGTATGACATTACTTCAAATAACTTTGTTTCTGATTTTTGTCCGCGCACCAGTTTTTTTTTTTTTTTTTTCATTTTCTGGCGTTCCTTTCAATGGTGTACTTCTATAGTACTCTGTCGTAAGGGACAGTTAAGTCTACTAACGAAATGAAAATCGCACAAGTTAAGAAAAGAAAGACTTCTAACGAAAGCTTCAGTAAATGATAACGAGACGACTATCTTCCGCTCTGGTTATTACTGAGATATGCTGCCCTATTATAATATCCAGATATAAACCAGCACTCGAGAAAACAAATCGCGAGCAAGATTTATAGGTAAAACACCCTCACATGAGATTGATTTGTTCATAATTAAGTACAAATAAAAGTGTAGCTTTAAGTTAATGAGCGCGTATTGCGCAAGATAAGGGCAATCAGTCCATGTTTTTATGTTGATGACCGCGACATGACAATAGCTGGAGTAACTTTCTATCTCACTTTCGCATAAGTAGTTCTTACTCTACAGTTTTTGTAAACAAATAACTAAACTTCTGATCAGACAGTATAGGATTTCCTTCGTTAACATATCCTAAACCTCTGATCAGACCGTGTAGGATTTCCTCCGTTAACATATACTAAACCTCTGATCAGACAGTGTAGGATTTCCTCCGTTAACATATACTAAACCTCTGATCAGACAGTGTAGGATTTCCTCCGTTAACATATACTAAACCTCTGATCAGACAGTGTAGGATTTCCTCCGTTAACATATACTAAACCTCTGATCAGACAGTGTAGGATTTCCTTTGTTAACATATACTAAACCTCTGCCCCAATCAGGACAAAACGAATTTTGACTTCTCCGTTAACATATACTAAACCTCTGATCAGACTACGTTTTCAATTTATATCTCTCTTAGGTTAACATATACTAAAATCCAGAACGTTAACATATACTAAACCTCTGATCAGACAGTGTCGACTGTTTAAACCTCGTCGTTGTCAATTATTTCTTTTTGATGTAACCGATGATTGTCGGCTCCGGACATGTCCATTTTCAGACAGTTGTGTCTTTATACCACATACATCTCGTTAACATATACTAAACCTCTGATCAGACAGTGTAGGATTTCCTTCGTTAACATATACTAAACCTCTGATTTAGGATTTCCTCCGTTAACATATACTAAACCTCTGATCAGAGAGTTCCTCCGTTAACATATGTAAGCTCTATAAGCATCCTGTTAACATTGTTCTGATCAGACAGTGTAGGATTTGTAGAATCCGTCGCCTGCCCCCATCAAGCAAAACGAATTTTGACTTCCGGTTAACGTTATCCTCACGTCTACGTTTTCAATTTAGTATCTCTCTTGGACGAACAAATCCGAACGTAATCTGCCGATCAGTTCGACTGTTTGGCTCGTCGTTGTCAATTATTTCTTTTTGATGTAACCGTGATTGTCGGCTCCGGTCGTGTCCATTTTCATACTTGTGTCTTTATACCACATACATCTCGTCAACTGAGATTCTTTGACCTCCGAACCGAAGCTCTAGAGAGTTTCCATGTAAGCTCTATAAGCATACTGGTTGTTCGGCGGGGAAACTAGTTTTTCGTTCAGGCTCACGCCGACATGCGGTCTAGATGGTATTCATCGGCTCCGGAAATGTTACATTCGTAAGGTACAACATCTTTTACTACCAAAAGCCGTCTTCTACACAGGTTAAAATATATTGAAAATAACCCTTTGACGTGTTTTCCCGCGAGTTTTCATTCTTTTTTCCCGAAGGTCCGAGACTTTTTAAGGCTTTGTGTTTAACTCGATGTTTTGCTTTGGAAACACGTTATCTAGTCGACGTTTAAATATCTCTACCACTCAACTAATCTTCCACCGAATGCATGCCAGTCCTTAATGTCTGCTTGCCGAATACCAACCTTTAATACGGGGGACATGGCTTTCATTCCCGATTTTGCGACAGGGGCAGCTCGCGGCCACAAAACAAGTATTTCTGTCTTTTTGTTTTTTTTTTAAAATCTACTTCTTTATATATATTTTTTTGGAATCCAGAAAATACCCGTATCGTCTCTCAGCATTATGCTGATTTCTTGAAACCGTCTTTGACGGATAGCTACGTAATGAATGGGTTGAAAGTCGTTACTCATGACGTGTCCGGGTTTGTCTTCTATGGAAACTATTCTTACCAACGGGACTCTTGTGTCACCTACCATTTGAGGTACTATTAACAGACAGTATACGCAGTTGAAATAGAATTCCTTTCTGACGTATGACATGTAATACCCTGTATGTTTTTTTATCGAAACTTAAGAATTTCGCTAATCTGTCGCTCACGACGATACGTAAGCCAGCTGATATCGTTAACGTAACACTACTATCGACGTCATCAACATTAATTCTGAACATGTCGCCGTGCGATACCATTTCTTTAGCTCCCTGCAGATATTCCAATAGTCTTTCGGATACTGTCGGATAATGACCTCCAGGATCGAACTGGACAGAAGCAATGTTTTCACTATCGCCAACGATCATTTATAACCACTATTCGCCTTCGTTCACTTTAAACTAAGAATGAGAATATTGAATTTCCGAGTTCTCAAGAAACTTTCGGTGGTATAGAGATTGCGATAATCGGATAGTGTAAGTGGTCGAAGTATTATCGGGGAAATATTCAATAGAACTGTTACTAGGCAGGGTTATGTAAAACATCGTGCTTCTTTGTGATAGAGGGACTAGGCAATAGTTAGCCGATACTGTTCCTCAACAAAGCAATCCACAAAAACCCCTGTTGATCGTCAACACTTAGATTATAGACACTACAAATAATTACACTGTACGGAATGACGATTTGACAAAAAAAAACACTTTCTCCTCGCGGTAATTTCCGACCACTAGATTTATTGTCCGTAGACTCGATAATCTTTTTTGCGTGTTTTTTTTTAGTTCTGTTCTGTTTAAGGAGACTTTTTGATCCTTTTGACAAGCTTTTCTTTTGATATGTTAAGCGGAAGGCTTATTTCTCGCCCAGCTTTTCAAATTATTGTTGCTGACGGGAAGTTGACATTTGTAATCTGGGAGTTTCGAGTGAAATAGTAGTACCGTAGTCATCATCATCATCATCATCATCATCATCATCATCATCATCATCATCATCATCATCATCATCATCTTTCCATTTCACCATATCCTTGTCGATATTTTCTACTCTTCGCTGTATGGCTGGAGATTCCGTTCGGTGAGACGTCGGGATTCATTGCTGTGTAACAGGAATTACAGCATTTGGTAACGAAGTGGAAGATACGTTTCTCTTGTTTTTTCTAAATACGATTTATTATTTTTCCAACTCTGGGGAATGTTTACGTCTCTGAGAGCCGTCAGGATTGACGTGCTTCAGAGACCTGCTACACGAAGCATTACCGACTAAGTCTAATTCGAACCCTGAATCACCGATTGACCATTGTATCCGAATCCCCCATTTCCGTTTCAACTGATGACGTCTTTCAATCGATACATCATTTCAATTTTTGAACACGACTTTTTCTGTACACTCAGTAAGATATCTTGAATGGAGTCCTTTTGTTTTCCCGTGGTTTCTGCGTTGCCCTTCGACTTGCCCTTCCTGTCGAAAGTATTCATTAATATAGTTTTATCACTGTTGTGTCTGTATTGCCAGTATCTGGACATGTACCTCTGTAAAGTCTGATTGTATAACGCCATTTTATCACCTAACGGAAGATTGTCTCGATTTAAAACGTTTGACATATCACCGTCTATGTCGTGCATGGATTTCACGGTTTAGGTCTCACTCGTATAGTGTATACCTGCATTACCAAATATTTCTTTCACATGTTCCCTGGAAAAGTCCACCCACGAGTTTTGTTGCTAACGGTAACTCTATGGGTGCCAGTGCCTGAGTGAAACTCCCCTTTCGGACGACGCGATTCTTTTGTTTTAACGGTAGTCTCTTGACTAATTTACGAAGGGATTCATACTTCACTCAAGTCTTTAGTTGTCTTTAGTAGATATTTCAAAATTTAATAATCCACGATAACTATTGTGAACAACGTCATTTAACACCTTACAATAATCATTCTTCATCTAAATACTCATTATCGCAAATATCCAGTCTTTTCTCTCAGTTTCCACCGCAAGTAAAATTTGTAAAGAGAACGAACGGCGGCAGGCATCGTAGACACAGAATTCGACAACATAATACATTTCAACTAAATGGGTTATATTTATATTTTCCCAAATATGCGCCAAAATACGCCATACACCCCCTGTGATGGTAGGTGAACAAAAACGATGACTCGCTACGATTAGTGTGATTTTAGTTGAAGTACTACCATTTGTTTGCGAGTGTACGTAAATAAACAGCAGCAAACTAACAAATAACATCATCAAACAGCAGCAAATAACAACAGCAAAACAGCAGCAAATAATAACAGCAAACAACAGCAAAGTAGCAGCAAACAACAGCAAACAGCAGCAAAACAACAGGCAGCAAAACAGTAGCAAGCAGCAAACAGTAGTAAACAGCTTCTAAACAACAGCGAATAACAGCATCAAACAATTTCAAAACAGCAACAAACAACAGCAAACAGCAGCAAATGGTTTTTATTTTTTGTCATCATTTTAAATTTCTAAAATATAGTAACAAAATGTTGTTTTTACATTTTTAAAAAATAATAAAAATGTATTTTTGTGAAAATTGTCAGTTTTGCAAATAGCAAATGTGTAAAGAAATGTAGCAACTTTATGCATTTTTGCCAGCAAAATAGTAATATTTTGTTATAATAAATCTGTAAAAAAATGTTTCACAAACATTTCTGCATGCAAAATACCAACAATACACGCCAAAACACGCTATACAAGTAAACAGAAACGATTGTACAAAAGATAAACAAGTGAACGACTGCTTTCAATAACAGGTAAGAGACACAATGTATGCCCAAAATACATCACACAACTATAAACACTTCTTCCTTGTACCTTTTCATTAATTTTATCAGACATACACGTTTTACTGGATACCTCATTTAAGAAGGCTCTTTGATGTTGATACCACCTAATATCATACTTTTAGTCCATTTTACAGATAGATCTGTACATAACTGATGTCTGCCATTTCGTTGTTTAGTGCTTTCGCCCTGAGACGACATGTTATATTTCTTCATCCTCTCGACATGCTATGATAATTCTTTATTCTCCACCTTTCACATTCGGATTGACAGTTATAGATATTCAGTTAAAACATTTCTTCAGGGTGGTCGGGTGGCGATGTGGTAATGCACTCGCCTTTCACATAGCTTTCTGGAGTCCGATTTCCGGAACGGACGTGAAAAGGTATGACCCCCGCGCTCTTCCATCCGGGCAGACAGAATTCATTAATGTAACCTGATAACTTGTTTCGCAATTGTTGTAAAATAGACAAAGTTAAGAAACACTTCACAAACAAAAGACCTTTATCTGCTTTTAAATACCATACAACAAATGTAAACGATTTCCGGGAGAGTGAGAAGACTCATTAACACTTAATACATAAACACGTAGTTACGATGCCGATAATCTGACACCAAATGCTAGGTTACACAATGTAGCAGTTAGCAAGAAGAAAGTAAAACAGACTTTATCGAACGCAATGCTAACTTGGTTCCATGTTACTGCGTCATAGGTTGGGACACTGTTGTCACCATTCAATTCAGCACCATCAGGACCTGTCTTTGCCGTCACCGGATCCGTTTTTTGGGGCTCTGGAGACACATCAGACGTTTTCAGATTCCCACAGGTTTTATTGTTAACGATTCGCGTCAGCTTGGATATGTACCCTGGAACCTGCTGCTCATCTGATCGAAAGTAAAACCGGAGTCCGAGTATCACACACACCATTATCATTACGCTCAAAACTATGTGAATGACAAGTAGATAGCAAAGTAAGGCCATTTCTGGGGATGAAGTCTGTGGGAGATTGCTGGACACGATTGACAGGAATACCGCGATGGCCAGTAACACGGTGATAGAAAAGCCGACGCGTTCCCCGGACTCTGCTGGCAGGGCGAATACAAACAGATTGATGAAGCACATAAAAATGGTTGGCAATATGAAGTTCAACACAAAAAACAAAGCTTTCCTCTCAAACATGATCGTCATTAAAATAATCCAATCTGGGCGTTGGAGAGATCGTTGGTCTGTGCTGACGAGATTCCATATTGAATTCTCTGTGTATTGCGCCGTATCCAGTGTCGAGCCAGTAGCATTTAGCTGAACGAGGTTCGAACTGTAACCCCATGGACTCAGAACTAGACTACAAGATTGTTGGTCAAACGGGTAATACCTTACGTCGGCATCGCATAAAGACGTGAGCTTTACAGGGATATCCCAGCTTACTTCTCCTGTATATGTAACCGAGATGTGTAATTCGTCGTTTCCAATCATAGCAATATCGTCATGATTGTTCGCAAGTAGAAATGGCGGTGTCCAAATTTCTTTTTGCTTGAAATGAGTGACCATTAAGTTGTTATAACTTGACGGAGTCCAATGCAAACGTTCATCAAACCAGGCAACATACAACACACCGATTATCGTAAATGCGCTTGTCAATTCGTCAAATGTTTGTATTTTTCTTAACGAGAAGCTGACATTTATATTGAGTGGTTCCGAGTAATTTAGGCCTGGGTGAACAGTGGGATTGTATCCATTCAGGAGGTCGGCGTTTAACATGGTTTTGTATGTAGAATTTCCATACATAACCCCATCACACACATTGTTCAACAGTATTAAAACAACACAGGCAAATCTTCCACACGAAACACCAAGATATTCCATCCCCGAAAACCCTTCCGTTCTATTGAAGTAGTCCCAGTGTAATGACTGTTTTGTGCTGAAGTCTGATGATCGTGTCCAGGACAATCCTCATTCAATTTCATGATACAAGTAATAAATGTCAGTCAATATTTAAAGTAGACCGCATTGATTCACAGATGATATCGATTTCTAAGGAAGACATTACATTTGTTCATTGCATTGTCCATTAACAAACAATAACGACACTCTGTAAATATTTTAATTTCAGTATTTCTAAGGAGATAAGTCGTTAATGTGATTTGTACACGACTCTTTAGTCTTTATTCTAATTTTTCATTAATTAGTTAATATTTGTTTTACGGTTATTGCCTTTGAGAATTTGAATTTATCGAGAACATTATCAGAGAGTAGAATTCATGTCGTAGAGAATGGCTAAAATCACCAATGGAGACTAGAAAACAGTCTACCCAACAATTATAACTGGTGAGGACTGTTTGTTTTACAATAGCATGAAATTGTCTCAGACAGATAGCTTGATCAAATAATTGATACCGTTGTTACCATCTGATTATTCTTCTGACACACATAACTTAGAGGAATACAAAATTTATTCATAGTGTAATTATTATAAACAACTGGAGGATGACAATGTACAAGTCGCTGATTATAATATATTTCCACTAACTACTTTATTCCAAAGTTAAATATTCTCCTGGCTAGAGTTTTCATATGTTTTGAACTTTAGAAGGCGTTTTCAAGCATCAAGCCGTCGCCCCGCTGTTTCATACTTTTTTTTTCTGACTGGTCAATACTTACTGGTTAGTTTACTTGAAAATTATCTCTCGGCAAGGTAGCAAAATATGATTAATAAATTACTGCTTTTTTTCAATATTGTTCAAAAGCCACACAAGTGAATAGCACAATTTCATAATTATGAGTGAAATAAATTAAAGCCAAACAAAGAATTAAGCTGCATCATGTAGCTGTTTCGTCCCTCTAGGACTTTTCTGTTATACTAATGGCCTAAAATTTGAAGCCTAAGGGTCGACTAAGGAAAATACAAAGTGATCAAAAGAAAAGTCATTATCTAGACGAATAGGTGCAGCAGCCCCATAATTAGATGAGTTTCGTTCTTTACTTACATCAGATAATTTTAGAACAGCGACAAGTACGTGTGTATTTTCCAAACCGTGCCACTTTTCGAGTGATTTTAAACCTAAAATTTGGCGTATATTCAAATATCAGCGATTAATGCATGACTGTAACATCAGTACGATCAACATACTGTGCTGAATGAAATTAAGATCAAAACGACCAATCATAAATTTACTTATTGTCCGAAGTGAAAGAAATGTTTAAACAGCGAGGTTGTAATTCCTTACTTTTAATTTACGTACCTTTCGTAAGTTTTCCGTTGTTATAAGTCGTTATAAGTGATAATCAAGCAGAGTCTAGTGTGTAAAATTACTGCAAATCACCCCAATATACTCACTGTTTAAAAGCTCCAACATAAGTGATACAGACGTCCCAGCCGGACCAAGACGAAACTATTGTATTGATACTGTAAGGCTATCGGCTTAAACCCAATGATTATGTCCCGTGACTAACCTTGTCGATTATACGATACCTTCAAAGAGTTATACTCAACATCCTAATGTGCATTTAAACTTCAGAGATTTGTGATACCGTATAACGGATTATTTTAGCGAGAGTAAAATTTAGCACTTTGGGGTAAAAACCCTGGTGTTTAGTATGAGCTATCTCAAATTTAGGGATTTTTTAAATTAAGCGTTTACATGTTCTTTTTTGTGCTGTTTATGATAACGTATGGTGTCTTTATTTAACTTTATGTCCCCAGAACAGTTGACTTACCAAGTGCTACATCGTGAATACGCTTCACAATTACACAGATAATTACTCCTATACACTGAACACATCTCACCGTTTTTTTATTTTAAACTTCTTCATTTAAAACTCTTATTGAAATAATCACAAGCATAAAGGAACTGCTCGCGAAATAAATTAAAAATTGAACCCCGCTAAAATAATACGATATACAGCAATTGACTAAGATTAAATTCCACATTCAAATACAGATCGTCTAATGATGACAACAATAGCCTGACGATTTGCGGTAAGAGATGTCGTTGAAGTACATATTTGATTATAATCTCTCTTAGTACAATTCATGTATGTTTTTTTGTCTACTCAATTGTTTCCCATTATATTCCTGAAAGGATATAAGAGTGAAATTAAACTGAGCTTAGCAGTAACTTTGTCGTAAATTAGAAAATCAATACAACTTTAACACATTATGAATAGCGAGTAGAAGCGACAATTACTGCTGTTGGTAATGCTTAAATCTGACAAGAAATCGGTTGAGTACATTTTTTTTATTATTAAAATGGTGTAAATTGCCATGAGAATTTATTCCCAAAATACATTGAGACACGTGTCTGCGTCCCGAAAATTCAAAATGTACATGGGTTTGTGCGTGAGAGACCAGGATATTCTGTTGCGGCCATATCAAAAACCAAAGCCAAACTTCACCTCTTCTCTTTGTGTTGTAGTCTGTTGGTGGTCAAATGCCATACCATTCTCAGCATTTATAAAAAAAAAATCTCATCGTCACATTTTCGGAACTTGTCCGGAATATGGTGTGAGGCAGATGGATGCGGCGAAGAAACAAAGAAGCTATCGGGTATCAGGAACAGGCCTTAACAAGCGTTGGAGACTATTTGAGTTGGTCAATGGATGGACACATCTAAGAGAGGGCGATGGACCAAAATAGCCAGTGAAAGCAGAAGATATCCTGTATTTGGAGAGTGGTAAGAAGTTGGTGGAGTAGATGGCTACAGGACCAGTTCAGGTTAAACAGGAACCAGTGCAAATATAAGCAGTTAAGCACAATTGCGTGAAGAATTCAGATTGAAATTTCATATCAGTGAACAGTCTTGAGCTTTCTGACGCAGATAGCAGATGGCATGGACTACGAATACAGATATTCAAAGATTGTTGACATTGTCATTCGAGTCATAAGTCTTTCAGCAAGAGTAGAAGACAACTTGGAAGGACGAAAGAGTGTAGACAATATGGGGAAATCAAGTGTCGCGCCTGAACCGTCATCAGGAAAATCTATTTTCACCTGTATCTTACTGGGGGTTACCATGGCTATTGTGTATTGTGAATGCCCCTGCGTTACCCCACTGTCCACCTGTAGCGATATGTTTTTACCTACACAAACTTAAAAGTTTCGTCAAATTTTGTGGAACTTACTGGGTTTGTGAAAGAAAAACTCGATAATGACTTCATATTTTCTATCCCACTGATTACTGATAAATGGTGTTGTATTTTTAGACTCTAGAAAAGCGTTTGACTGCGTAGATCATCATGTTTTAATCCAAAAGTTGAAACTTTACCAGTGCAATAATTTAGCGATGGGCTGGTTTAAATCCTATCTCACCAATAGACTACAAAAAGTAAGTATTTCAGGAGAAGTGTCCCAAAGCATGACTATTACTCATGAAGTCCCTCAGGGATCTATATTGGGGCCTCTTTTATTTTTAACTTTAGTTACTCTACAATGTTATTTGTTTTGTTGTAGGGATTTTAAACATTAAATATCGAGATGAATAAATAGAAAGGGAAAGACACGTCAAATGCCGTCAGCTGTTATTTGTTTTATAAATGATCTTCCCTTAGAAACTGATATGTACGCTGATGACACAATTCTATCAGCTTCTGATTCTTCTATTTTAACTGTCCAAAATTCATTACAATATGATCTTAATGCAGTCGAAAACTGGTGTACTGAAAACAGAATGATTATTAATGCTGACAAAACAAACTGTTAGTTATAACCACAAAGCAGAAACATAGTAGAAATGATTATGTCTGGGATATGTCTTTAAACAATACAGAGCTTGACCAGGTACAGTCTGCTAAATTGCTAAGTGTTTATGCTCGGAAGATCATGTCAACTATGTAGTAGGAAAAATAAGTAAAGGTTTGTGTCCGTTGAGAAGAATTAAGAAATACATTGCAAGGAACGCTAGAATCAAATATTTTAATGCGCGCGTTTTCCCCCCAATTCCTGTATTGTTCAACAGTCTGGAGTGGATGTTCAAGAAATCTGTCACAAAAGCTATACAAAGCTCAAAAGCAGGCAGCAAGGATGACATATCCATATGACACTCCATCTGCTGATTTGTTTTGTGTTTTAAACTGGTTGCCTTTAGCTGATTTTTATCGTAACAGGACAGGTTCAGTGGTATACAAATGTGTCCATCATCTTGTTTTGGAATATTTATATATGTAGTTTGTTTAACTTAAAGTCTGATATCCATATTAGATGTACCAAGTTTTATGGCAATATTTATTTTTGCTGCAGGAAGCCAACTCTGAAACTATTTTCCGAATGAGATAAGGACGGGAACACGTTTTGCCTCCTTTAAAAGTGCCCTCAGCAATCATCTCATGGAGCATGGATGATCAGATTTCATATTAAAATTCTCGAAAGAACTGTATTAGGTCTATTCAATATTTCAGCAGATTATTATCCTATTGTCATACCTATAAAACTTTTAATCCATAGCTGACTGTTTATCCTCTAGTGTATTTCTTGTGCCAACATTGTAAACACACATTTTGTTACTATTGGTATTTTCTGATGTCGTTATTCTTTTTCTTTGCTACACTATTATATATTTGTATAAAGCTGGAGCTGTTTAAATTGATTTATTATTATGTTTGATATATATGCATCCTGTGATATTCCAATCCAAAGTATTATTATAGGTCTAAACAGTGGGAGCAGGTTACTTATTTCCGGAACAGTTAGAGTGACGCTGCAAACTCTCAAAAAGGAAGGAAAGCGATTTTTTTTAAAAATTATTCCCCATGTGGAAGTATTATCTTCGTGACTTATACACCTGGGTGTAAGTTACACTCTGTTTGTGAAATGCTTGTTAGGAACACATACGACAGAAGTGTCCGGTGTGGGAGTGGAAAGTTGCAAGCTGGCCAGTCGCTCATCGGATGTCCTAAGGAAGAAAAGCAAGATTGTGAGTGATTTCGGTCAGAAGAGGATCACATATTTCAGGTTAACCAGTCCAAATGACCTGAGGTAAGACGAGGGAGAGTAAGTAAAATCAGACAATCAAGTAGGGATACCTTATGACGTGTAAGAATTCAAGAGCACCAAAAGACGACCAGATAGATGAGTGAAGGATGACGAGTATTCTTCAAAGATAATCGGAATGTCGATGAACTTCCTGGACCGAGACTGAACATCGAACTTGTGGACAGCATAATAAATCTTGTGAACCATAATTTGATAAAGAAGTTCACTTCACCATATGTTAGAGAGTAGGTCATGATCCTGTGTTTATGTAACGCTTTGGAAGCTTTAAATAATGGCTTAAGGAGACTGTTATTAAACGCAAATTTAAAGTGAAGCAAACCAATACGATCGGCGAAATATGCAAAAATTGCTGTACGTCTTACTGAGGGATCTAGAGGAGATTTCGACCAAAAAGAAAAAGAAAAGGCAAAAATTCCAAAAGGTGCAACGGAAAAGCAATGGCAGATAAGTTATGGTAGCTGGAAATTTGATTTTCTTGCCCTTAAATGGGCAGTTTCTAAACGTTATCGGAATCTGTGGTATTATTTTCTTCAGTATGTACAGAGATAATAATCCAATAATCCGCTTATATATATATTGGAATCAGCCTGACCGAACGCAACACGACATAGATTGGAAGCGGAACACGCCGACGAAAATTTCAGATTATATCATAAAATAGGGAAATTAAACTCGCCTTGGATACCTTTGGATAGATTTCAACGCATATGAGGGACTACATTGAGGAAAGTACCAGAGCGAGATAACTGCGGGAGAATTTGTTTAAGAGAAGAAACACTTCAAAGCTGAACAATCTAGAGTGTGCGCTCTTGGTTATATTATGATCAAAGCTGAGAGCTCAGAAATCGTCAATTACAGCACTTACAAAAGAGATGTGGTATTGCCCATTTAAGAACTACTAAATACAGTATGAATAGGACTATATGAATATTGCTGCTTATACTAAACAAGGAGGAATAGGTTGATCGGAAGGGTAGTGTGGATAAGGTTGTGCATGTGTGCAATGGCTTTCTCCGTTCTTTCCGTTATTTAAAGTCCGACTTTAACATAAGGCCTACTTGCAACCTGACGTCCTGTTATTTCCACCATTTTTAACAATAAATCCCACTGTTTCACAGTTGAATTATTGTTTTTTGTTACAAATTGTCTGGTAATAGATCTGTTTCTACTGCAATCGTTTCGTCATGTTTAATCAAATGATTGACAACATGTTTATCACATGTTTAGTCAATTTGACCATGCATGTCAAGCATGTCTTTAGAAATGTTCTATAATCTTTATCTATATTTCTTTCAGGAAAAGCTTGTATGTTATAGGCTAATTGTAAGTGAATTCTTATGATACTGGCCAAGATCACAAACTCCAACAGTGTAATCAGTGTATTTTCTTTGGATAAAAATCTTCACGTTACATAGTTGAGAATATCATCTGATCAACATTTCTAAAGACGAACTATAGCTGTTATAGTTGTGCATTGTATACAACTAGGTCCGTATCATAAAAATCCGGAAATGTATGGTCCACCGATTAAGCAAAAATCTCTCCAATATTGCCGAACAGAGTTATACTCAAGACAAGCACTTTGGCAACAAGAAAACGTTGAAATTGTTGACGCTATAAACCGAGTCATACCGTCAACTTCGCCGTCAAAGATAAATTTCTTCAAAACGTCAGAAAATTTGCCCTTTTTAAGTTTAAAAGCACATCCGTAGAAACAAAAGTAGATAAGATCACAAAAATCCAAGATATATTGGAATTAATTTTATTCTTACTTCCGGTCAAACTTCAAAGAAGTACATCCTTAAACTATCCATAATTTGTACATCAACCATTCAATATATGTGAAGAGATATGATTGGTTACTCCTTCATCAACAACATCATTTGCTGTTACAACAATTATACAAAGACTGAAACGATTACATTCAATGTCATTATAACGCCCCCTACAGACAATTAATAAGTAAGTACTGACATGTTCTGATTCAATCAGAAAACACTTTAAGTCAGACGACTTGTAAAGATCACATTAACACCTGCTACGAGTCTAATTATGCGACCAGAAAGGTCGGATTGCATAGTGTAGCAGTCTCTTTGAAGAACACACAATCTCTAGCTTTGTTGTCTAGCTTTGTTGTCACAGATTACTTGTTTTGTTGCTCTGAAAACACATATGTTGTCAAAGAATATTGGAATTTCACCAGGTCGAAATTAAAACCGGGGTCCAAATAATAAACACATCATTATCTTCTTCGTTTTCGATGTATTCACAGCCGGAACAAGACGAAGCTGCTGTAAAACACTATCCCAGCGTTGAATACCCTTATAAACAGTCTAAAGCTTAAATAAACTCAGATGATTCCTTGTATTTATTGATTAGGATTCAATTGCAAAGGCAATTTCAGACAATCTGTTCATGGTGCCATCAATTATTATACTTCAGGTCATGAATTGTTTTAGTTCTATAGAATGTCCACACAAGGTTAAACACTTTCACCAATAGGGATTTTACAAATATTGCCGAGAACAATGGCATGCTAAATGGCAGGAAGTAGTGTATCGCTTATTGATCGGAAATGCTTTTAGTAATAAACTGTTTGGCACATTTCATACATTGACAACAAGTTTATGTTACTTATTTACTGAACTCGCTAAATGCACAGAGGGCACTATAGCAAATTTAAATTGATCAGGGTAATAGTTATATTGTGTCAGGTGACATGGAATACTTCACATGACTAAAATTCACTTTTATAATCATCTGATTGTGAAATGTTTCAGAGTAGACACGTCAATTTGACGATATTGTTTGGTCATATTTAATGACCAAATGACGCCATTGTTGTCCTCTGTTCGTCCTACATTTTGTCCATTTATCACGCAATCGTCTATAATTACACTACCAATTTTTCGTAACGTTAAATAATTTTAAAAAAACGTTATATTAACGTTGAAATGAGTTTCGGGTTAACGGGTTTTTTAACGTTGAAAAACCGTTATGAAAAATTGGCTGTGTACTAATTTCCGTTTTCTTTTTCTATTGAATGTAGGAAAACAAGATTCATATTTCTTCAGAAAAACGTCGATTATTTGAAAAAAAAAAAGTACCACCGCCCCAAACCCTATCCCGCCCCGTAAAACTTTTCTTTCCGATTTAAAAGTTTAAAAGGGCCATTGACATATCGGAAATTGTAATAGCTTTTGGGTATTGATGACTTGTGATTTCTAGAACATTCATAATGTTAAGAACACAAAAATGTTGCTAAGAGCCGAATATTACGACCAGAAATGTAACATTACATACGATAGCAGTCACCATAAAGACTGCAAAACAAACTTTATCGAACGCATTGCAGACGTGTTTCCATGTTACTACGTCGTCAGTTGGGCTAACAAAGTCGTCGTTAACCACTTCAACAACATTAGGACCTGCCTTTGTCATCACAGAATCCGTTATTTGGGGCTCTGGAGACACATCAGACGTTTTCAGATTCCCACAGGTTTTATTGTTAATGATTCGTGTCAGCTTGGATATGTACCCTGGAACCTGCTCCTCATCAGATCGAAAGTAAAACTGGAGTCCGAGTATCACACACACCATCATCATTAAACTCAAAATGATGTGAACCACAAGCAAGTAACATAATAAGGCTATCTGTGGGGATGAAGACTGCGGGAGATTACTGGACACGATTGATAAGAATACCGCGATGGCCAGCAACACGGTGATAGAGAAGCCAATGCGTTCCCCGGACTCCGCCGGCAGGGCGAATACAAACAGATTGATGAAGCACATAAAAATGGTTGGCAATATAAAATTCATTACGAAAAACATAGGTTTCCTTTTAAATGTGACCGTCATTAAAAAACCTGGATTTGGAGACTGGTTAGATTGTTGGTACGTACTGACGAGAGTCCAAATTGAATTCTCTTCGTATTTCGCCGTATCCAGTGTCGAGCCAGTAGTATTTAGCTGAACGAGGTTCGAACTGTAACCCCATGGCAAAAGGGTTAAGCCACATGATTGTTTTTCAGATGGGTAATACGTTACATCGGCATCGCATAAAGACATGAACTTAACAGGGATATCCCACCTTACTTTGCCTGTATATGTTACCGAGATGTGTAATTCGTCATTCCCAATGAAAGCAATATCGTCATGACTGTTCGCAAGTAGAAATGGCGGTGTCCAAATTTCTTTTTGCTTGAAATGGGTGACCATTAAGTTGTTATAACTTGACGGAGTCCAATGCAAACGTTCATCAAACCAGGCAACATACAACACACCGATTATCGTAAATGTGCTTGTCAGTTCATCAAATGTTTGTATTTTTCTTAACGAGAAGTCGACATTTATATTGAGAAGTTGTTCCGAGTAATTTAGGCCTGGGTGAACAGTGGGATTGTATCCATTAAGTAGGTCGGCGTTTAACATGGTTTTGTATGTAGAATTTCCATACATAACCCCATCACACACATAGTTTAATAGTGTTAACACAACACAGGCAAATCTTCCACAAGAAACACCAAGATAACCCATCTTTCGTCAACCCTCCGCTCCAATTAAGTAATCACAGACGATTGTTTAACAATTTACCATTGTACTGGACATATTCCGGAACATTCCCACCTGGTATGAAAGAAACGTTTAAGATATGTCAACATTGAAACATTTCCAATTGTATAAGGTTCAATTACCTTATTTACATTGATTAGGACAGAACAACCATGTCACCTTTATATATCATACGTCTTTATTGTTTCCCGGCACTTGGTATTGTACTCTTTAAAGCATCCATCGAGAAAGATAGAAAGGGTTGTCCCGGACGGCATCAATTCCAGAAAACGACATAACATAATAAACGTGTGGGCGAGTCAATAAAGGGAAACATTCTAATTTGTTATCGTCTATTCAGCATTGTTTGCATTTATTTTGAGAAACAGCTGCACTAATTAGTTAATGGTTTTTACTCCTTTTATTGATTACTTACAAAGTGCAATAAAAATCAATTAAACAAATATAAATGTGGTGAATATGAATGGGTGAAATCAATTAACAATGAAATATTACATAAGGTGAATTACAGAAGTACCGGCTGTTATGTGATTATCTATCTTGAATTGTTTCCGATTATACCCGTCATACAATTCATATTGTTTGATCACATTTGTAATTAAACATTATTATTGTTTATTGGTAAAGTTGCCGACATGATCGGAATTAAATTATGAAATCCTCATGCCAGTTAGGTTCGCCGATGGCCTCATTCGACGTTATCGTGATGACTGGTTTGTGTTGACTTAAGAGTCATCCCGTTTACAGGGTCATTTCCTTGGTTTCATTGTTTTATTTTTTTTTTTTAATCTTTTTCTACTTTGTGTGTTATCCACTTATCACTTATTTTCGTTCTTAAGGGTTGTTGGTGTATTATGTTCACCTAGTGTCGATAGTTAATATTGACGATTGCCAACACTGTCAGTCAGCTTGATGAACATGCACGATAGTCAATTGGACCATATTGTAGATGAACTTTCTGTTCAATATAATAATGATGATTATAATATAATAGTAACAATCGTTATTTCCCGATGATAAAAACCTGTTAAGCACACGGTTCGCTTATCAGTAAAACATATATAAACATAAATGAGATAGTAAAAACAACAGATATAGGGGAGAATAATAACATAGAAACAGTAAATATACACATACCTACCTTGTTAACTCTTTGCGAGATTGTTAGTGTAAAGATCAAAACGGTATCTGGGAAACTGTCTAAAATTGTCCAAAAGTAAATGTTTGACTAGTTTTCTTTTTAAAAAGGGTAAAACAGTTGGTCTCCTTAAATTCAACACGTCTTTGGATGGAGTATCTAGTGGCACATTAAAGATCATTCTGGCTGCTTGTTTCTGAGCCTTTCGGAGCTTACCCATCAAATTTCCACAGCACTCTGGCCACACTGTACTACAATATACAAAATGTGGGGAAAATACAAACCTCAAAAAATCAGAGTTTTCCTTCCATGGGTAGATATGGACACAACAGGCCTAATGTTTGCCTTATTTTGTCCAAAAGAGATTATATATGATCTAACAACGTCAAAGAATTATCAATAACAACACTAAGTAATTTGTCTCTTACAACCTGTTTTAGAGATTCATTACACAAAGGAATTAGCTTTTGATATCATCTAATGATTTGCCAGCAACAGAAAAGGTAGAGTCGTCTGCATACATACCTGTATCAGCAATTACATTTAACGGAAAATCGTTTATGAAAACTAGAAACATCAAAAGGATCTATAATAAATCCTGGCGAGACATTATGAATAACAGGTGTTTGACATGTGACCAGCCATAGAAACTAACTGGGTCCTGTTGTGGAGACTGAAACCACAATAAAGAACTCTGGTCTATTTTGTAAAGAGAGAGTTTTTCATGTAAAACAGAATGGTCAACTAAATTGAGATTGTTTTTAAGTCTGAGAATATGACTCCAGTACACAGTCCATCATCGATGCTGCTAGCCCAGGAGCTTACAAAATTCAGCAGTGAACTTTATGACAAATGTGTTATAAAGAATAGAAAAAGTCTACAAAAACTCACATATCATCAGTTTTATCGTCCCATTAATACATGCTTTATATATTGCAGAGAGATTTTGGCTTTAAAAAAAATTCCAGAAATGTTTATTTTATGGTCCTGAATCTCCGCCAAAAAATGTTAAAATATTGATTCAAGTGAAGATGAGTGATAAACAATACCTCCCTTTGACCTCCAACACTTTTACCTTGGAAATAGAAACTAGAGTCCTATTGTAAAATAAGAGCGGTAAATCCAACAATAATTACGGTAATATCGAACGCTATCAATGTTTTGATTTTAATTCAATTGTCTTACAGTCAGTGAAGTAAGGCTACTAGAATAATATTTAATAACGATTTACCAATCAGAATAGAAAACGCTGGTCTCGTATCCCGTAACAACATCACCACTTAAAGAAAATACTTCAAAAGCTCAATAAAACTAGGGCAAAATATTAGCACGCCCAACTTAATATTGCACAAAGAAATACACTATTTCTCAATGAAATCACGATGACGACCGAAAACCTTCCACATATTTTTGTCAACCTTCACTTAGTTGAAACTAGATGAGTTTGTCCGTAATTTGACTACAAAAATAGTGATATTGCGAACAGGTCCTTGCGACATGTAAACATAAAAAAATTGGGATGCAGGAATGTTGCTAACCGGAGATGGAATACACACAACATGGAAATTGAAATCATCACGCTTACCATGCAGCTTGGTGGAAAGTTGTCCATGTTGTTGTCGTTCTACAAAAAAAAATAGAGACAAGAGTCGATTCTTGTTTTTTTTATCGACATTATTCAAGCTGAGAAAGAAATGTATCTAATCGTGTGTCTCCTTGTATATCTACAAGCAATTCAACGATTTAAACAAAAATAAGTTCAAACTTTCATGTTATAATTTCAAAACATCAGCAACAACCTTGAAAGAGTAAGTCTAACTCTGTCTGTCGTGATATGGTAGTTGACAATGTATAAAAATATCTGACTTTCATCCCTTCAAAACTTTATTGATACTGATGTTAATTTATTTTCGTCGTGTTTCATAGCAATGCACAATCTATAGATAAACATTGACTCTAGACTAAATATAATAACACACTTTACAGTAGATAGTTACTCTATCGATGTCACAGATCAATAAAACACCACTTACAACCATTACTGAATTAATCGATTACAATAGCCATAGAGCTCTTGAACTATGATATTTCAAGCAACATTTTCAGCACTAAGAAATCAACCCATTAATACCGGGTCTACCTCATGGTGATGGGTGGATATCATTTGTGTTGTCATCTTCAAAATGTAAGTTTTCATGATATTTTTATATAACAGAAGACAGGATAGGTATGTAGGATAGAGTTATTGTACACGGAGTCTGGCAAAAACTCCGATATAAAAACGGGACATATGTAACCTCGGTTACTGATATGGACATCACAAAGCAGAAATAAAACAAAACCAAACCAAATAATTCGGTCAGCTTGAATCAGAACAACATGACTAATAAAGATATCAGTTTCACGAAAATCGGGGGATATAATGAGAGAGCCAACACATTTTCTATGGTGGGTTTCTTCAGAAAATAACGGTGGGATGACAATTTGAAGTGGGGTCCAAAAGAATATGACGATATGAGCTCTCTTCTCTGCCAACAGCATGGTGTATGGAAACCTGAGCTACTAATGATGAACTCTTACGAAACGATTCGACTCATTTCATTTTATAGTGACCACATACGCACAAAGTATGATGTGAAAATGTATTGGGATCCAAGAGACATGTCCAGCTATAGAATGGATCCAAGCTATATTTTTCACTTTGAGATTACATTAAAACCGAGGTGCATATTGTCCGAACCAACACAAGACTCACAGAACCAACTTCGAAATATGATTGGATTTTTTAATCACTGTATTAGAAGTTACGACTGTGTTTTTGACCATCATTATCGACAGTCTTCCACAAACGACCGAACAAGGAATGCCTTTTTTCAACAAAGTTATTTTCAATGATGGTAATTATACGTACCATTATTGGAGTTTGTCTTCATTACAACCATCACACCAATTTGTACCTATATGGGTGTAGTGCCTGGCCCCACTTGTATAAAATATCAGCTAATATCTCCTTGAAAATATCTTGTATGAAAATTTCTCAAGGAATTTCAGGACATCCTAGCCGATGACTTCCTCCTGTTCCCTCAGAAAATTTTATACAAGCCGTTTTTGAGGAGATATCAGCTGAGGAAAATCTGGGCTTGAGGAAATCTCAAGTTGAGATGTTTTATACAAGTGGGGCCTGATCTGTCAAAATTACAATGTAGACGGTAGGAAACAAATGGTACGACAAACATTGCCAAGACAACAGTCTCCTTGAGTACCTTAATGAGTCAACTCATCCTCGCGACGTTTCTGTGGCTGCACGTCACTAGCTAAAATATTGTCAAAAACACATCCTGTATCAAAGATGGAAAGCTGGTCGCTTTTGCTAACTAAAAAATCCAACCAAGAGGAGGACAGGAAGACGATTTCGATCGTAAATGACAACAGTAGTAAAATATTATTACATGGAATGGTCTTACAAAGTGTGAAAATAATTCCCGGTTTTTGGTTTTCTTTTTCCTCTAATGGTGAATTTTATAGTAAATTTAGGCTGTTTCATGATTTTCAAAAAACAAATCTTTCATGATGACATCTCGTTTTTGGCATTCATTGCAAACATTTATAGAAAAAAGACTTCCTATTAGTTGTACAAGTCCTGCAGGTATTTGTATGGCTATTGTTTTTGTCTTGATTATCCTGATTCTCTTTTAGGGAACATGAAATTGCTTGGATTGATCTGATGTATTATATTTCCAGCGTCACCTCTCTCCTCTGCTTTTATTTGTTCATATTTTATTTTCGTTTCACCACTCTTAATTCTTTATGACATTCAGAAGCCATCTCACATATCATGGTTTCAGATCAAGTTCATGAATCTCTTCGTCTAAGATTGAAAGAAATAATTTACAACTTATTAGTACACCGTTGTGGGCGAAATCATAATCAACTGGGTATGTTGTCATGGTTTCTTGCTTGAATGTTGATGCTTTGAAGACTTAATTACCACTTTGTTAAAGTTGTTACTTGGACTTCCAATTTAATTTCAAACTTTCACCAGCTTACACAACTTAAAGTCCAAGTAGCTGTCTCAGGAATATGGCAGATTTTGTGATACAAGTTTTAACAAACTCCTCAGACATTCATTGGTAGTGATTGAATAACTGACTTGTATTGATTGATGTGTATTGCTTATATTGATGTGAAAGAGTTGATATAGGGTTCCCAGAATCCTTTATAATTATTGACTGAGTGATGTTTATTCATTTGAATTCCATTAACCGATTGGTAGAAAATCAATATCAATTTATTGATGGCATACCTTTATGGTCTGATGCAAGTTCTTACTGGTATGGCAATATTATTAATGTTATGACAAAGCTAATTTTGGAAGTTGTAATGACAATAACAATCAAATCACAGATATAACTTAACAAATTCAAATGTGATTATTGTACAGCTACGAGGGAACATCTCTTTTTCTTTCATAACAAATAATGGTCAGAGTGCCATGTCTTCTGAAATTTATTTACTTATATACAACTGTTGAAATATCAAATGAAGTATTTATATCAAGCATTGTGTGGGAAACAAGTAATTGAGTACTATCTTGATTGAAATCTATGAGTTTAAAGCCTTCAGTTTTTTGTATCTTCAGTTAATCTCTCCTTTCAGTTTTCCTTATTTTGTGGCAGCAGCTTCTTAATCTCAAGAATATTCAGCGTTATACATTCCATATATGTGGTAGTGTTTAGCAAATATTTATATAAGCATTTCAGAAGGTACAATACTGTGATCAGACCTGATCACATTATACAGTTTCCTTTACACATTATAATTCACCACATGAATATAACTGTTTTATTTTATTGAAAGGCACATAAGCCTTCAATTCATATGCCGATAAATTTGGTATCAAGCTTAAAAAATACCAATATTTTTTGTCATGGTTTCAATTTTCTGATTGCATTTAATTGTCCAAAAACCAGTAGATTTTTCTTCTGTCGTAATCCCTTACTTGTTGTTATTATTACCTCTTAGCGTAGAATTATTGAGAAAACAAGCAATTAAATGGATTTCTTTATATGGTTATTATGCTAAAAATTGTTTCTCGCTCTTCATTGTAAAAATTTACAATAAACACAATACTTGTCCCCATATGCCATTTGTTTTGTACACACAACTTCTGACTAGAATATCTAGTTTCAGCAATACATAAATGTAATATTTCATACCCGTTCTCATTATTTATGGATTCTGTGAGTGTTGTGAGGAAATGTAAACAAATTCAATGAATAATGCTATGACATCATGTTTGCAATTTGTTGAAAGGTTTATTTTGAAATATTTGCACTTTTTTGTAATCACTGATTCAAAATTGTCCATGACAGTTTTTATGTAGAAAAAAAAACTTACTTGCTGAGCACTTCAGTTATAAAACATACAGAAGAAACCTGAAATTTGATGGGCAATTGTTTTTTAAAATAAATAATGAATGGCAGTATGATGTCTATTAACTTTCATAAGTAATTCAACAAATATCCTGCCCATCAAGTTCCAGGAAGTCCACTGTGGCAGGAGAATAAACACAAACCAGCTCCTGCGCTGGCACAAGTCCTGTGTTTGTACTCTCTAGAACTGCTCTGTTAGAACCTACGAGATAAATATATGCACCAGGATTGAAATCCTGTGCCCACGTTGGTTGATAATTAACTGCTGCCACACAAGTCTTTTACACTGCGATTAGGAAGAGACTGTCTCTCATAAAGAGTAAACACCAAGATTGGCTTTCAACCCTTTAACCTATGTCCATAGAATAATGACCACTGACCAGTCCAACTGACCAGAGATCGAGGGATGTCTACTGCAGTGACTACGCGGTGGAGTTCTGGCTGTTAATAAGATCAAGTTGTGATAGACTGGCTTGTACACCTTTAAGATTCTCCTTCCACTGTATAAGGTGCTGCTTCAACATCTGCCACTGCTGGCGACCAAACGTCCGATGAGTCGTTGAGCTGATCAAAACTTTCTTTTGCATCTGGTCAATTTTAGCTCTTACAGCCTTCGTTCTCAATACTGAAAGACAAGACAAAACCATTGGGCAGACTTAGTAATTTGTTACTTAAGAATAACAGGGTATGTAAGATCTTTTCTGGCAAGTCCAGGGCACCATTTAAAAACTTTTAATGAGGCCAGTGAGATATAGTGAGTCCCGTGGGAAAAGAAGGAATCCAGGACTCAATTCAATTTGATTTTTCCTGAATTTCTCTTCTTTTTTTATTAAGTGCTTACAATTACATAAGCTAACTCACACCAACTTTGCCATGATATGTTGTCATTTCATTATACATGGAATTGTGTGCTAGTCACTTTCAACTCATTTTTATCGGCAGCGAAATCTATATTGTACTGAATAATCTATTGAACAAAAGAATCAAATCAGGAGGTATAACCATGGTAAAGTACTACTTTTTTTTCACTCTAATGATGTAAATAACATGTATGATACTGCCTAACGGTGTATTTATAAATGCTCTAATATTTTGAGACCAGGTTGTTATTTGTAATTTTAAATATTTCTAATACACATTCATACTTTTAATTCATACATTATATTACTCATCAAAGGAATTTATAAAAGTAACATCAGTGAATAGCTGATATCAAAAGAAATTTAAAATAAAATACAGGTCTGTCATATAATGAATTATACAAGACAAAAATTTCTATTGTTCTTTATCAGACACTTACCATCAATGACAAATGGTTCTATCTCCTCAGCAGTGATCAACATCTCTTCCTGAAGAACGCTGTACTCAATCTCAGTTCTGTTCTCAGCCATCTGCATGAATGTCAACAGACGCATCTTCCTCATGTTCTGTTCATGGGACAGGCCTGTAAACACAAAACTGGAACTTGAAAATATTGTTTTATATAAATATGTAGATATAAACACTTGTGTTCATTTTGATTTTAAACAAGAAATATCTGAGAGCCAAAATGGGATCCACTGGTTAACAGTGACGGACACCTTGGATACTCTCAGGTTTATCTAGCATCAGACTAAGTGTTAGTTTGTAATGTCCTACAGGCAGAAAAGTCTGTATAACATCACATGATGCTACTGGTTTTCCAGAGGTTCATATATGAAATGTGTTTTAATGCATCATTTCATCTTATAATGTAAGTGTTGAATTGATTAGCTAACCTTTTTTGCTATTTCAATACTGTGTAGTTACTAATTATTTATGGGCTGTTTTATTACCCTTAATTTGTGATTGAAAATAGCACGAAACCAAAAACCAAGTGAACATTTCTACACTGAATGAAAATTTCAAAAATTATGTTATGCCTATACACATGGATATGTGCAAAATTTATTACCAATGAACTAGTCCAAATTGAGATTGAAATATTAGCCCGGAAAATTAGCAACTACACAGTATACAGATACTATATTTGAGACTTCAAAGATGTACAATCTGGATGTCCTACTGTTCTGGCATGTCAGAAGAAATCTCAATGAAGAAACTCTCAGTTAAAAGGAGTATCAGACAAGTTATAGCTTTCCATTATCTTGATCTTTCCTTGTTACTCTTGTCTAACATGTCTGAGAGCCAAAATGGGATCCACTGGTTGACAGTGATGGACACCTTGGATAGTCTCAGGTTTATCTAGCACCATTGTAAAGTCTTACAGGATATAGATGTCTGTATGACATCACATGGTGCTGACAATATCCAAAATACAATTACATCCATTATAACAAGCTACTAATTGCAACTTTTAAAACACCTCTGCCATTTAAATGAGTAACCAATTTTCATCTGTCCCATTCAAATGTGTTGCATCCAATTCTGCATCAGTGGGATAAGAGAAGGGACAACCCTGTCTTACAAATCTTTTCTAGTATTTCAGTATCATCATGCTTTATGATTGCTTTTACTGTTTGGAATTTCTTTCTCGCAATTATTCATCTAGAATATGACTTCCTTGATCACAATAATGTGATCATGTAGCTACAAAGTGTCATGCTATTTTGGCTAGCTCATGGCTGTTTAGTGAGATGGCACATTACATATCTAGATTGTGGCCTTATTGTTCCTAAACACTTTCTTCAAACAAACCAGGGTGTTGTCAGGAAACAAAATTCCAAATCACCTACAGATTTTTTCTTTAAACAGCAATAGTTGTGATCATTGAACATATGTTCTGGTAACTATACTCCTAATATACAGACCAGAAGTAGGATCTAGATAAAAAGTAAAAACAAACAGGAGAAATAAAAGAAAGCTGTTGTAAATATCTATCATCTTCAAATCACAAATGAAAATTCTCAATTCTGCAGTAAACACATTACAACAATTTCAAAAGAATATTGAGCAGTTTTGTTTCAGAATATACAAAATATTCCAGCTTGGACAATAACAGGGAAAATACCTCTAATGGCCTACATTAACTGTGTGATATATCTAAATGACTTCTAGAGTGTATTTACAAATGTGAAGACATCCAAACAAGGTAGCCTGAAGAGCCAAATAAATTTCTTTATCTGTAAGTTATAGCAATATTTTGCTTTATCTTGAGTATTCATTGTACCTCTTTTCTTATATGTCTGAGAGCCAAAATGGGATCCACTGGTTAACAGTGACGGACACCTTGGATACTCTCAGGTTTATCTAGCACCAGTCTATGTGTTTTGTGTGTCATATCATACAGAATATACAACTCTGTATAACATCACCTGATGCTATTCTTAATCAAATAAAAGATAAAAAAGTGACAAGAAATGTATGTCCATTGTTTCCAGTAGAAACAGTAGTGAAAACTGGGAAGTTGGGTATGTAGATCTATATGGTTTAAAGATATATACTCCACAGATGTCTCTACAAGGTCTATTTGAAAACCACAAAATTGTTTCGATATAAAAGACTCTACCAACCCAATCTATCTTACAAAGTCTCGATTATTGATGAAATATGTTATGACAGTATAAAGATTAACTGTTAGAGCCAAGTTTTGTTTGTCTTTATTTAATTGGTTCAAATCACTATGACAATAATCAAAGGCAACAATAACATAAGACTGTAACATACATGTAGACATGTCACTGCATCCACTTTCAAGGAATGTTGAAAACAAATTTTCTTAAAAAAGATGTTCAACTTACACAGAGATTTCACAAAATCTGTATTATTCTTGTAGAACTGCTGATATTGGGATATCTTCCCAGAAACAAATATCGTCAAAAGCTGAAAATACAAAAACATTGTAAAATCATTTTCACTTTAATAAAAAAAGAAAATCTGTGCATATGGTGTTATATCAGAACTTTTGTAGGGTTTTTTTCATAGCATGATTTCAATACTTCAACATATATTCTGCAAGTGCATGAAGTGTCCTATACACCAAATTGTCCATTCATTTCACTCATCAATCATTCCTTGTTACTCACTTGAGTCAATAACTCTTGCACATTTCTTTGAAATAGAATGAGCAGTCTTGTCAGTGTACTATCAGTTGGTTCTCCAAATAAAAATAGAAACAAAAATTCAAACATGTGTCGGTCCTTGCTGTCTGTGCGAGTGTTTAGTACCAGGAAGTTGAATATTCCACCTATTGTGGTAGAAGACCTGATTTTGTCCTTACCAAAAGAGTTAACATCTGTTGAAATTAAAAATTTAAGGATTACTGAATGGATATCCTTCAACAAGGACAAACTTACATCATGGATAAGCTCTCCTTCCAGAAACTTGACTGGTTTTAAAGTCAGGAGGTGGTCCATAAGAAACGTGTTGGGATCTCCTAAATGTGTTACTATACACCTACAAAACAAAAATGTTCTCTCATTATCTTAACAAAGTAACAAAACATCTTTAACATAATAGAATATAGAACAAAAACCCCATAAACATCTTCTGGCAATTACATCATCAGATATTTCTATACCATCAGATGATATATCACAAGTGGCATGCTCAAATCATAGAGTGTTTAGCTGATTAGCCTGTAAATATGTATGTTTAATTTCAGTATTAATACAGGGCTTTTTTTGTTGTCGGTTTTGGCAAACATGGACTTTTTCACTTTCACCATTGCAGAAATTCATGTAGTTTATTCCTACACTTTGACACTACACTTATGATAGTTTGTCCAATTTAAACTGTTAAAGTATTGCACAAAAACTATCTGAGAGCCAAAATGGGATCCACTGGTTAACAGTGACGGACACCTTGGATACTCTCAGGTTTATCTAGCACCAGTCTATGAGTCAATCAATAACATCATACAGAATATACAACTCTGTATGACATCATGTGATGCTGCCTTTAAGGACCTATTAAATAGATGGTAATTTCATCAAATCTCATCCACCACAATATTACACTCACCTGTATATAACCAATGCAAATTTAATACCTGGCTTACAAATTGCTGTCCTCTCTCTATTACACCCTAAACACAACTGGTATTACTGGTATTAAATAACAATGTGGGTAGGATACATACCTGTGGGCGTCATCTCGAGCTTGGGATGCATTATCTTCAGTGTAGGAGCCGAGTAAATCTATCATCACTTTGGTAGCATTTTCACTACAAAACAAAGTTATACTTTAAAAGATTTCCACCAAGATTACGACCTTTTATAATCAGTGAGGCAATAGTATAGCAATTGCAAGATCAAGGAAGAAGGATAGAGTGTTAAATACAAGGTGGTTTTCCGTAAGAGCTGGCTGCCAGCCAAATTGGCATTCTAAATTGACTATTTGACCACCTGACCACCAAAAATTCTCTGTGTTCAACACTCATACAAATTTTATTTCTGATGACACCAGGATGGCCTAAAGGTTTAGACTCAAATTATCAATATCATACCAATGTTGTTAATTTTTTCTATGTTAAATGGTACAGTCAATACAATTCAGCTAATTATGGTAATCAATCAAATGTGAAACTGCATGTCGTGAATGTACACCTTAAGTGAATCCATGCTGCTAGTAAGAAGTTCCAGTGACTAGCTGTGTTGGAGATATAACTTGAACAAACTTTTTTCTTAAATATAGGTCAATGGCAAAAACCTGAGTCAGAGTGACCTACATTTGATTTATGACACACTTATCTCACAAAGGTGAACCCATACCCCAAATATCCAGTTCAAGTGACAAAGAGTGTAAGAGATAGACCTTGGAAATTTTTTCTTTGGTGTTGATTAAAGATCAAAATGAAGAATAGAGTAATTCTTTTTTAACACGCGAAACACAGATGTGTACCTATACCCTAAATATAAAGTTCCAGTGACAAGATGTGCAGGAGATAGAGATCAGACAAGATAGAGAACATACCAAAGAAAACTTGTTGCTGATGGATATTAACAGTGAATTCTGTAGTGTCACTGGATTATATTTAGTACCCAACGATAGTGGAGTTGGACACCTTGGTCACCAGAAAATTTTACATAGCAACACTGATTTTTCTCAAAAGCCAAAAATATTGCCAGCAAGAAATTTTCATGATGCTCCGTCAGGCAAGTAAACTAGATTTTAACCTTATTTAATTCTGAGGTCACTTTCAAAGCGCAAGAGGGCCATTTTCATTTTAAAAACATTCCCTCCCCCTAGTTTCAGGTTTCTTGGCAAAAGCAATCACATTATCGGTGATTCTTCATTTTCTGAGTATTTCTCTGTGAAAGTTATATTTATCTAAATGTTTCTACTATTCAATTTTCAATATATTTCATTCTACATAAGAAATTATCTACAATATACAATTGATATTTCAATTACTAAAATTCAAAATTAAATACAAATAACAATCACAGATAACAGTACAATTGATAATGATGGAAAACATCATTATTTCTGTGACTACAGCTCAAGACAACTGAACTGCAGCAGTTTTGAAGTACTGAAATCCAATTTATAGACATTTCTTTATATTCTATGTTTGTAAGAACTTTTTTGACAAGTTGGACTTAGCAAGGTTTACTAGTGGTGTCACTGGATTATTTAGTGCCTAACACCAGGTATTGGACACATTGGTTACCAGTTTTAATATTGCACCACTGATTTTTCTCACAAGCTGAATGCAATGCAAATGAGAATTTTTCATGATGCTGTACCATGCTAAAACAAAATAAAAAATTTCATGAAACATTTTCTATTTCTGTCTGGCTTCTATTTTAGACTGCACCTGAACTCACCTTAATTTTGAGTCTATAAGTGCATCATGTAGATTTCTAAGCAGATTTTGTAATTTTTTAGCACTGATGTCCCACATTGATGTCCACTTCTTCACCTGAAATATAAATATAACATTGTTATCATTAATTCAGACTGGTACCTGTCACATTTGAAATTCACAATATTGCACTGAAATATCAGAGTCGGGAGAAGGTACTTCTGGCATGTGAACCATGACATCAGGAGTTTATTTGTTTACCTTATCTAAGTCTGTATCCACCATTTGGATGAGGTCTGATTGGTGTGCTAATTTTATCATAGCTACATAAACATCAGCTCGTAGTGCAGATTTCTCTTCCATACCATAAAACAAATTAGACAATCTGAAAGGAGGAATAGCATCAAAGTGTTACTTTGTCAAATCTACATAAAAAAGTGAAATATTACCAGGTTTAGGTAAACCATATTTATGCACCATATTTGTGAAATAGAGCTTAACACTAGCTATCACTTACATAATCATATAACTATGCAATCCATATTATCTAACATTAAACCCTAAGTTTCACTTTTTTGTTACATTCATAGAAATAAGAAAATGTGGTCATAAATCTACTGTAGGCTATATTACAGCAGGTCTTTGTGACTTGACTGTACTAATTCTGTGATATTGTAATTACAGCTGGTCTTTGTGACTTGGCCGTAATAATTCTGTGATACTGTAGACTTAATTATAGCTATGATATGACTGCACAAATTCTGCGATACTGTTATTACAGCTGTCACACGACTATGAATTCTGTGATAATGTTTTGCCTTACACTTTGATTCTGTTCTGTGATCTTTTGTCTGCTTTCTGTTGTTGCTTTCCAACTTTCTCACAGAACATGGTGATCGGTTCAGTCATTTCCTCCTGTGGCAAGACTAGGATCAGGGATATGATGCTGTTGAAGATCATTTCCAGATCTGTCCACATTGAAATACAAAAAGATCAATATAAACAAACCTAAAATTAATGTATGTCTGCACTAAAATGTAGCATTTAGCATGAACATTAAGTACAATTTATTTGTAGAAAGATTGATATTATCTTATATTCATAAATTAATGTTTTTCTTAAAAGCATGACATCAAAGATCTTATAACTATCAATTGTAATCATAAAGTTTCACACCATTCAGATTTTCTATATAGTTAAAAAGCTGCAGTATATATCATATCTCCAAAAATTGGCAAAGTACACAACCCTTTCTGTTGTATCAGTATCTGCTAAAAAATGGCAGTAATATTGCTAGATGCAAAATAAGTCGTGCAACATCATTACATTTAACAAAATAATGATAAAATACAAAGCCTAGAAACTACCAATTCTTGTTTAAACTTAAATTGAATATAACTTCAGTGATGTATTTAACAGTACAAAGAAATGTCATTCCACCTGTTTCATTGTTGATTTCTGTCCAGCAGACATTTGTTGCTTCAATGATATTTCTAAGATCCGTGTGTATTCCATCTTCGGAAGGTTCCTCTGATATAGAAGCACCCAGAGATTTCAGGAATATTCGTAGTTCCTGAGCCTAAAAACAGTAAATGACAAGCATTTTAAAAAAATGTATCTTACAATATACAAGTCATGTGACATGATGTGCGTTCTATAATTTAAGACTCACTTCACAAACATTCCATCACACAAATAAGTTAATAATTCTGGTTCGATGTCCATACAAGAACCTGATAATTATTAGGGCTAGCTCTTGCTCAAAATTTTGATTTGCTAAAATCTGAATTTTTGAAAATAGGTTGATTTCACAATTGGCAATTGATTCTTTATTCATAAGTAAGTATTGTGCAATGTTTGAGAAGAAAAAGGTCAAAAGAGATATGAAGTATTTATTCAAGTCATTTTTATAAAGATTTATTTAAGCTTCCATATAAATAAATGGATAAATACATGTATACATAAAGATAGAAATACAGTCCAATGATTTATTGACAATTTCTATATTTTTAAATAATTATTTCAGCTAAATGATGCTAAAAAAAATTATAATAATAAATAAAAAGAAATAAAAAGGAAATAATTGCCCCTTTTTGATTTTTTACAGCTAAAAGAATTGAGTTGTTGATACTGCTTTTACATATATTTAATATTCTTGATAATTTATGCTGAAAATCTTGATTTTTTCATACCAATATCCATTTTTATTATGCACTGACTATGTTTTTAATAAAACAGAGATCACTCTCATGTAAGTAAATTATATTGCTTTCCAGAAATTTGTAATGAAGCATTATCTTTCTTGAATATGTTTGCTGAAATATGATCATCTTAACAAGCAAATGGTATAATGGTGACACATGCTTAGCATCGTAATAAGTTGGCAACCAGTACAAATAAAGGTAATATTTAACAGGTTTGACACAACCCTGCATATGGGCAATAGTCCTGCATTTGAGAGATAGTTACTGATTTGTGTTGTGTTTTTTACAGTAATGAATTATTTACATATACTCAAATGCAGGGTCATTTTGAAATATAGACACTTTAAGTCACTTCAAACATCTGCAATAAAATAAGCTTCAATTTTCCCTCCCGTGACCCAACAGCCACTGTATTATTGTACATATGAGGAATTCCGTGTCGACTTATTTTTTTAAATAATCGCAAACTTATCACATCATTTGCAAATTTCATTCAAATGGTTATCGTGGAAACACATTTTTATAACAATTGTAACACCCCCCCCCCCCCCCGGAATTTTCAAGCTATCATATGGCGTAGACTGAACTTATGTTGCGAACGTTTAGCAGCACTTTGATGTCATTTTCTTGAAAGGTTATGTTTTTCATATTACAGTGACAGTTTAAGCGTAAGATAAATGTATCACCTGTTCAGGAATAGGCAAATCGATGAACACCGGTGTGCTCATGCTGTCTCCAATATGGCGGACACTAGTAAAAAGGAAGAAATGATAATGGTACTTCCGGTAGAAGAAACTTTTCGCTTTTATGTATGTATCAAAATATACTTGGGTATTTTAAACATAAATATAAAATGTACCATAAAAAACGGGTAGGGATTAGAAAATGTTCAAAGCCTAATCAAAGTATAAAAGATACTCAAATAAATCCAGATATATCGATGTAGCATTAGACGCGAGTATAAACACGTGGAACTAAAGGAAATGGCGGGAAAATTCAAAGTGTACAATTATTTAAACACGTTTTGATTAAGAATTACTTAGTGTAATGGACTCTATGTGCGCCGGTAACGCACCTAGATCTGCATAAACATAGAAAATATTTTTCGACTTGTATCAGATTTCTCTCTCATATGGGTTACATTTCTTTGTTATCTATTTTCATCACACAAATTATTCAAATGGAGTTGTTTTTCATCTTTCTGTCTGTAACTTATTCGTCGATCAATTCGAACCAGAAATTTGTTTTAAAAATGATATATGTATAATTTTAGAATCGATATATTTCAATCTCTCCTTCTGTTGATTTGCTCATTATCTTGTGTCAATTTCCACCAATCTATTACTGGAAGAGCAGAAAACACAGAATATGTTTTTATGTATTAGACCTGGAATGATTTGTAGTTCTGTAAAATTGTAAACAAAAAAGAACAAAAATTTTGAATTACATAGTGAAATGGACTCTATGTACACCGGTGACGTTCAAAAATTGATTATAAACACCTAGATCTGATTAAACTTAAAAACATTTTTTCGACTGGTAGCATCATCTTTGGAGTCAATATTACACGTATCTATAATATGATACCAACATTTCAACATAATCATAATTAAAACTCAAATTAAAACTGGGTCAACATATTAACACAAAGATTTACAAGGAGAATAAGACCATATGTTCGGAAGAGTAAGCGTCTTCTGCTTCATCGACAACACCCATCATTTAAATCTAAGTAAGTCAGTGTCACATTGTTAAATAAGAACAAGGTAAACTACACTGACAGGCAAAATAATGAACATGCATGTCTAGTTCCATACTGTACAAAGAAAATAGAATATTTCCCGATGAGGTCTCTACAACAACCGAAACTGACCAATATTTTTTATCAACCTGCATCTTTTGAAACCCTATATATAAAACGAGTTTGTCTGGCAGTTAACGCCTTCTTGCTTGAAACTTAAATCCTAAGAGTATACGTTCCTGACTATGTTGACAAAGTACAACCAAACAAATACATAAATATATATTGAAATTTATTCATCACAATATGATAAAAATACACTCAAACTTGCTCATCTTAAATGATGAATATTTCGGGTAATGCAATTGCACTTCTTTCTTCATTGCACGTGATTCAAGATTTGAATATCAAAACTTTAGAGCATTAGCCCAAAGTTACTCAACGTCCGAGTTTGTCTAGAGCGACCCAGAAGACCTCAGATGTTACAAAGAAACACCACTAGAACGGAAAAGTCATTTAAAACTGATCATTTTGAAATGAAAATCATGTTGTGAATGACCATCAGATTTCTCTCTCATATGGGCTACATTTCTTTGTTATCTATTTTCATCACACAAACTATTCAAATGGAGGTGTTTTTCATCTTTCTGTCTGTAACTTATTCGTCGATCAATTCGAACCAGAAATTTGTTTTAAAAATGATATATGTATAATTTTAGAATCGATATATTTCAATCTCTCCTTCTGTTGATTTGCTTATTATCTTGTGTCAATTTCCACCAATCTAATACAGGAAGAGTAGAAAACACAGAATATGTTTTTATAAGTTTTACCTGGAATGATTTGTAGTTCTGTAAAATTGAAAAAAAAACCCAAAAATTTAAATTACATAGTGAAATGGACTCGATGTACACTAGTGTCGTTCAAAAATTGGTTTTAAACACCTAGGTCTGCATAAACATAGAAACTATTTTTTCAACTTGTAGCATCATCTTTGGAGTCAATATCAAACGAAAATATAATATGATACCAACATGTCAACATAATCATAATTTAAACTCAAATTAACACTGGGTCAACATAGTAACACAAAGATTTACAAGGAGAATAAGACCATATGTTCGGAAGAGTAAGCGTCTTCTGCTTCATCGACAACACCCATCATGTAAATCTAAGTCAGTGTCACATACACTGACAGACAAAATAATATGCATGTCTAGCTCCATACTGTACAAAGAAAATAGAATATTTTCCGATGAGGTCTCTATAACAACCGAAACTGACCAAATCATGTTGTGAATGATAATTTCCCTCTCATATGGGCTACATTTCTTTGTTATCTATTTTCATCACACAAATTATTCAACTGGAGTTGTTTTTCATCTTTCTGTCTGTAACTTATTCGTCGATCAATTCGAAACAAAAAATTATCTTAACAATGATTTGTGTAATTTTAGAATCGATATATTTTATTCTTTCCTTGTTGAGACTTCTGTAGATTTGCTTATTATCTTTTATCTATTTTCCAGAGTAGAAGACACAAAATATATTTTAATATTATACATGGATTGGCATGTAGTATTGTTGAAATGAAAGGAAAAAAAACAAAGTACTATATGTTCGAGCAACCAAATGATATGAGCGGCTCGAGAAAATGGCTGCCTCGAAACTCATGTAAGCGCATCGTGTACAGGGCAATATGAGGGGTGGGGGCATATTCAGCGTGGGAGGGGGGGGGGGGGCGCGGAATTTTAGGCTAAAATCGGCACAATTTAGGAGCTTGAAACGTTCGAATAAGACACACGATCTAAAAAATTATTAAATATATCTATTCAGGAAGAAAGAATAAATTTGCTCAGTCCTTTGCGTCAGTTAAAAAGGTCAATTTACGGAGAAATGAAACTTCAAACATGCAGAGCAAGGGAAAAGTGGTCAAACAGAAAACATTGTCGAAGTGTTTGAGAAAACTAAAGGAATTGGTAAAAAGTGGTAAGGACCATATGAAAGAGCAGATCTTGCTGTGTTCCGTGGTCTATAACAATGTGTAGAAGAATGATGGCAATCGGTGTTATACTCACATTTGCTCCTAAATTGTGCCGATTTTGGCAAAAACTTTTGCCCCCCCCCCCCCCCCCCCCCCCCCAGGGGCGGATTTAAAGGGGGTCGTGGGGGGAGAAATGCCCCCCCTAAAATTGCAGAGTAAGGGTGAGTTACAGAAGTATACTGGATGGTCTTGGTCGTATGTTATGACTATCACTGTTCTAAACAGCTATAGATGACTTAAGTTGGGCTAATTTTCAAGTATACAGTAACTTTATTATAGTTGATCACATAACGACAGAAAGAGTTAAGTAAGTTAATTATAACGCCCCCCCTAACTTAAATTCCTGTATCCGCCCCTGCCCCCCATGCTGAATATGGACGCCCCGCCCCCATATTGCCCTGTGCAGGGTGAAGCGGCTCGGGACGATATTGAAGGCATCAAAATGAATTCAAAGTCTGCACTCAATTGAGTTAGGCTAGTTGTTTTCGAAAAAACCCACCAAAAATATTGTGTGTTCATGCTAATGATATTGCCGCTGAAATATAGATTACACGAAGCTTCGGTTAATTGTGTCTGCATTCTATAAGACATCTGATGCAGGTATCGGAGTTGAAATAGACAATCATGATAACTTATGAAACACCATGCCATCTACAAAGGCCTAGTGAATTAACAATAAGCAAGATACCCATAGGTTTTATAATTATATAATTCACAATTGTATTCCATTATATATATTATACCATTTCCTTACTGACAAAGTAATAATTCATATAGTGTTAATCAATAAATACGATTAATAACCAAAAACAAAAACTACGTCATTATATCGATAAAAAAAATTTAATTGAAAGAAAAGAAAACATGCTTCAGTTGCTATATTAATCATGTGTAACACAATTCTACTAATATATGAGTAATGCGACTTTACCTAATACTACATTATACATATCAATCCCAAAACAGATAATTCATATTTGCTTATTTTCTCTATATTCGACTTATGACCATGATAACGAATTTCGTTTTATCGATTAATTTCATTATTCTGCTGGTGTGTTCGAGTTGGTTTGCCTTTTGATTTTCCCGCTCAGATATCACTTTCGGAATGAAGAGTTCTTTAATAACATGAGAGAGAACCCAAATGTTAATCCCGAGTGGGTTCGTCACGAATTCAGCTATTTCATGAATATTAAGGACGAAAAGTCATATGCAACAATAATACACTAAATACCTTAAGTGCAGAACAAGGTCACGATATATTTGCATGTTCGTTTGCTGTAAAAAATCGTTGTTGATTAACGAATACAAGGTAGTATAATTAGCGCGACATCTACTTGCGCCGTATACTATATCCGGAACGGAAGTGTCTTGATTTCATCACCTGCTCACGTCGTTACATCTGGCGGTATATAAAAGTTGTTTCCCATAACCCGTATTCAGTAGTGGCAGGCATGACAAACACACTGGGTGAGTAGACAGGGCTCATGAGCAGCCGACCTAGCTATTTCAGAAGAGATGATGCTCTAATTTATTCAGAAAAGTTGCATCATTCCCTCTGAAAGCTGTTGTGTTCCCGAAATGGTGATCGTGGATGGCCTTAATTTGCTTGTAGTTTCAGTTTCAAAACTTTCCAAAGTTTCGTTAAGTATAATTATGAGTAAGTATGAGTTAATATCATATCGTAACGGAATTGGACCTTAATGTAAGTAGACTCTGTACAACATGTATACCTGATATTTTTGTTTGTTTCGCTCTCGCGACTGCTGTATCTCCACTATGTAGATCTGTAGATAATGAAGTGGAAACGGATTAGTGACTGACTATGTGACAGATGGATAAGTTTGTATGCTAGTAGAACTTTCTTTACAGAAAAAATGTGAATTTTTCTTGACGAGAGTGCAATGAATATTCCGAAGTTCGACATGTCATGTATAGGTTAATTTTGTATTTGATGTAACCAACCTGTTGTACAGTATGCACTTTTATTAGTTAGTTATGGTTCTGGTTAATATTTTGGATTGAAAACAAAATAATTATATGTTGTTTCTCTTTGAGATTTTATCTATCAAAACGTCTAAAATCTAGCTTTCTGTTTTTGTTTCATTGCTATTTTTACTAGTGTGTGTATGGATTTTTTTTATATGACTTGTGTATATTTATATACATGTTAATATATATAAATGATCTAGGAAGTAATATCAACAGTATTTACAAGCAAATTGTCAAATTTTCGAGGCAACCTGCCCCTTTATCAAGACACAATTATTACATAAATTACATCACATACCTAGAACATACAAATAATACAAATAAAAATAGAAGGGACAATAGGGCACTAACAAAGACAGAAACAATGTAGACAGAAATAAAAGATGAACAATAATTTGGATTATTACTCAGTGTGGAAGATAGAATCTAGTAAATAATGTATCACAGACAGGTGGATTGTCATGTTTTAAAGGCAATCTGCCCCTGTATCAAGACACAAGTATTTCATAAATTACATCAGAATGTAAAACAGATACAAAATGAAATATATAACTGTCCTACATGATCACTTGTCAGGTTCTTACTTGATTATTTTAACACCTAAGCCAGAAGCAGGCACTATTCAGTGACATAGATTATATTAAACAAACATGTTGTTTGTAATGGGAGAAACAAAATGTAAAAAGTTGATAAAAATTGTTTATTAATGTATGTTTAAAACAAATTAAAAGTGTTTTCGTTCAGATAGATAACTAGATCCAAGTAATTTACTTATATCAGTAATTTGTTTCTGTTAATATCACAAGCATTTATTTTTGTATTTAATATAGAACAAAAAGTATAGGTTTGCCTGGTTAATTTAATGGAAACCAATATGTAGTTTTATTTCAGCCCAAAACATGTTGCTTTTATTTTCTGTTTCAGAGTGTTAATTGATTGATGGCTTTGAAGGCTGTCCTTTTGGAGACATTTAATCTTTCTTCACAAACATTATCTTCTAAAGCATTGATTCCCATTGTGGTGAAAAACACCTTTTGCACACAGCAGATTGAGACATTTGTGCGAAAACCAAAGATGACTAGTAAGTAGTGTCAATCAATGAGACCCAAAATATTGATGGAATAGCACTCTGAGGTCTTCAAGTTTCTGGTGAATAGTGCTATTTCAAACTATAAACTTCAAAAAATGTTTTCATTCTTTTTTTGTTGTTGTATTAACCTACTTCTGAAATTAGGAAATAAAATTAACAGTATTCTACAGAATTAATTTTTCAGATGAATTGCAAATGTTCTGTTCCTTTAAAGAGCACTTTCTAATGACCTTTTAAAATATTTTCAGCACCAGAATATCTTTCCTGTGGTCAGTTTAAACAAACAAAATTGATACAATACCCATGACCAACTAAAAAATGGACCAATTAAAAAACAGACCACCTAAAATATAAAACACATGATTATCATGTTAACAAAACTAGAAGCACCATGCTTTATCCAAGTAGCTGTTACAATGTAGCAAAATTGGTTTGATTTATCTAGAACACATTTATTACATATACCATATTTTCTGGTCTATAAACTGCACTCGAGTATAAGCCACAGGACTGGTTTTTAGTGATTTTTTAAATTTGATCTGTATATAAGAGGCATCAGAATATAAGCTGCACATTTCTTATATTGTGGTAACCATTATTTTGATCAAAGTTTGTTGATAAAACAGAAAACAGAAGCTAATTTATCAAGATAGTCCTTTATTTCATTGATGTGTTTCAAAAATGTAAAATAGCAATTATCAAACTTATTTGGCTCAGGAGCCTTCAAAGATTGTCTACACACAGAAATAGGGTGTGACATTACATACAGTTTACTTAACAATATCTCCATCAGTGTCTGTACTGTTAAGGCCCTTGCATGCTGATAAAATTCTGATAGCCTCCTATTTATTCTTTTAAGTTACACAATCCATTCTTTCGTAAAAAAAAGCATAGCAGTCATTCTGGAATTTAACCCATTGACCTATCGATCCCAGGATGCAACAGGCTATTGTAAACTTTCACTATGGGGTCCCGAAGCAACCAGGAAAGTTCAGAAGATATTATTGTGATTCATATTAATATGTATGATTAATTAAATCCGCGAGAATGTATATTTATTTCATCCTGTATATGGTTGTGATGGTTCTTGACAATCTGTTTCAGTCACAAACACATGATGGACAAGTACTTGTAAAAACTTTTTTAAATGTAACATTACATAACAGTGTGTTGCAGACCATTTTTATCCACTTGCAACAAGATGGCAAGGGTATATAAGGATCTAACTGCGTGGATGTATGTATGTACTTGTTCATCACCCAATGATGTCAATGCTGTACAGAATTCATTTACTAACTCAGTCGTCATCTCTTGTATGACCACCAGGGGTTAAAATTGTGGCTACTGTTACTTTGAAAAGATATTTGGCATCCTTGCTCTACTGAACTCAGTTTAATCATCTGTTTATCCCAACTCTTCATACACTTACTCGCAAGTATCATCTCGTGTACAAGTCAGCATCACGACCTTTTGAAGTCAAGTTTGAGGTGATAGTTTAGTTTTACTATAAATAGATATTTGACTTAATTGCTTCCAGGGCAAAATGCACTACTGTACTCATAGCTTTTATCTCTTGTATGAGTTTACATATCAACTTGCTGGTGTCAAAATTGGTCACTGCTACTATGAACATGTACTTAATCACAGCCATTGTCACTCTTCTTCGGAACAAACCAAAGCTTAAAGTAAGTCCAACCTCTGACTTCCAGTAAGAAGCTGTATCATCCACAGGGGTTAATGGAGTAAGGGAGTTTGTATCATCTATAATGCCTTGATGAATTTGTATTTCCAGACCAAAGTAATTGAGGTGCTGAGGACCATGTCAACAGCCCTTTCTAAGGACCTGATTCAACAGTCTTAAAGCTCTTTTCCAAGGACCTTGTCACACAATCTTAACATTCCTTTATAAGGACCTGGTTAAGCAATCTAACAGCCCTGTCTTAATATCTGGTCCAACAATATAACAGCCATTTCTAAGAGACATGTGACAAAGTCTTAACATCCCTGCCTTAGGACCTGGTTCTTATTGACCTCTCCAAGAACCATGTCACACAAATTTATGTACTTCCTAAGGACTGTGCCCCACAGTTTCTCACAATCTTATTGCTCTTTCTAAAGACCAGACTTCATTGCCTCACTTGAGTGATCTTTATATTTGGTAATTGCAAAAGAATTCTTTGTAAGTGTTCTTTTCAATTAAAAAACAACCAGAAAATAAATGCACAGTTGAATTTATCACTTCTTTTTGAAGCTAAGAGAGTGCAACCCCCATGGAAAGCCCCCGAAGGTACTGATGATGTCAAGCTGAAGTTCTACAATAGCCTGACTCGTCAAAAGGTAGGACATTAATTTCCTTATGTTAGGACACTTGAACACTGATTAAGACATTTGTCTGATTTATAATTACATAAATCATACCATGTCTGTAGATTGTTTATTTACTCTAGTTAATTTGGACATTGATGAGTTACACAAAGAAAGGTGGTTATTTGAAGAATTTTAAGAAAGAATAAGTGACTTTCATTTGATGACATCTTTTCTGAAAAGTTGTACACGTTAGAAAAAATGGGGTATGCTCATTATGAAATTGAAACTTGACATGTATTTCAGATCCTATATATTGGTTTTGTTTTACTAAATCAAAGAAATATGTGAACTCTGAACTTAGATCTGGTTGCTTCATTTGGCCTTACTCAGTTGTTGTCACATCATCAACGGCTCTCTTAAGCTGTCATATTCAACTCTACTGAAGACTTGAGTCAGTTATGTACCACTCTAAAGAAGGTTTGAGTGGACTGTCATGTTCTGCACGAATGAAGGTTTGAGTGGGCTGTCATGTTCAGTCTACTGAAGGTTTGAGTGGACTGTCATGTTCTGCACGAATGAAGGTTTGAGTGGACTGTCATGTTCTGCACTACTGAAGGTTTGAGTGGACTGTCATGTTCCACACTACTGAAGGTTTGAGTGGACTGTCATGTTCTGCACGAATGAAGGTTTGATTAAACTGTCTTGTTCCACACTGCTGAAGGTTTGAGTGGGCTGTCATGTTCCACACTACTGAAGGTTTGAGTGGGCTGTCATGTTCCACACTACTGAAGGTTTGAGTGGGCTGTCATGTTCCATACTACTGAAGGATTGAGTGGACTGTCATGTTCCACACTACTGAAGGTTTGAGTCAGCTGTCATGTTCAGTCTACTGAAGGTTTGAGTCAGCTGTCATGTTCAGTCTACTGAAGGTTTGAGTAAGCTGTCATGTTCAGTCTACTGAAGGTTTGAGTGTGCTGTCATGTTCCACACCACTGAAGATTTGAGTGGGCTGTCATGTTCCACATTACTGAAGGTTTGAGTGAGCTGTCATGCTCAGTTTGCTGAATGTTTGAGTGTGCTGTCATGTTCCACACTACTGCAGGTTTGAGTAAGCTGTCATGTTCAGTCTACTGAAGGTTTGAGTAGGCTGTCATGTTAAGTCTACTGAAGGTTTGAGTGGGCTGTCATGTTCAGTCTACTGGAGGTTTGAGTGGGCTGTCATGTTCAGTCTACTGAATGTTTGAGTAGGCTGTCATGTTAAGTCAACTGAAGGTTTGAGTGGGCTGTCATGTTCCATACTACTGAAGGATTGAGTGTGCTGTCATGTTCCATACTACTGAAGGATTGAGTGTGCTGTCATGTTCCACACTACTGAAGGTTTGAGTAAGCTGTCATGTTCAGTCTACTGAAGGTTTGAGTAGGCTGTCATGTTCAGTCTACTGAAGGTTTGAGTGGACTGTCATGTTCCACACTACTAAAGGTTTGAGTAAGCTGTCATGTTCCACATTACTGAGGGTTTGAGTAGGCTGTCATGTTTAGTCTACTGAACATTTGAGTGAGCTGTCATGTTCAGTCTACTGAAGGTTTGAGTGGGCTGTCATGTTCCACTCTACTGAAGGTTTGAGTGGACTGTCATGTTCCACACTACTGAAGGTTTGAGTAAGCTGTCATGTTTAGTCTACTGAAGGTTTGAGTACACAAATGCTGGATTTGACTCAACAGTGTTCGAGTCATCCATGTTTAATCTACTTAGATAAAGAGGAGAAAAAATTGGGAACAAACAAAACATACAACTTATCTGATGTATTTGATTCAAGTGTGTTCGACACAAATGAGTTTTACTGTTTGTAAAAAGTTGCAGTCAACAAACCACAATTTATATCATCAGCGCTTTCTTACTTGTATTTCTCTTTAGGAATAAATATGAGCTGCATTAACCATTCAGTACTCAGTGACTAAATAGTCTATTACGGTGCCTTGATTGTTTCACCATTGTACTTTCAGTTTCACCCTTTCATCAATTCTACAGGAATTTGAGATTGGCATTAACCTAGACAGAATATTCTAGTATCAGTCAATAAATGGTGAAGCATGATTTTGAGTCAGAACTGAAATTCAGTTCATATGATGAATATTTCTGGTAAGAAAGCATAAATGTATTTGTATCTAGAACCACTCTAGTATTGCTGTTATAGGAACATAATCAGTTTTTGGGAATTCTTGTTGAAAATACATTTCCAAGTATTAGTGTTAAAAGTAGACCCTGTCATTCAAAGAGAAAAACATTATTGTAAGTTAGAATAGATTGTGGTGTTATACTAGCCATTACAGAAAACAGAAGACTGGTGTTGTAAAGTTGTAGTTTATTCACATATCCTTGAATCATATACAACATTATATCCACAACTTGATTTTTATTTTTACAAACACATGGTAACAAAAACTAGCATGAATTCGCATTAAAATACTGTCTCTCAACTCTGTCACTCAAATATTCAACAGCCTTACTTTACATCCATTCGTACAATATATCACGTGCTTAGGGTCAGCATTCAACCATTTATCCCAACAGTTAAGGCAGACACACATTTTGAAAATAGCATCACAAAATCTTGCCAAGTTATAAGATCTGATTGGTCAGTAATTTAACCAATGAAATTGTGTGATACACATACACACATTCAAGTGTCTATATGCCAACTTTCTCAAATGCTTCAAAATTTGTTACTTTGAAGATTCATTGCAAATGTATATAGATTATGTACACTGAACACTAAATTATACATAGGTACAGTGTAAATACTTTGCACCAGAATAGTGTCCAGTCAGAATCATTCTAGACAAAATACAACAGTTACCATGACTACACAAATCAATTTTGTTAATAATTAGATTATATCCCTCGCACCAAAATTGTTATTATAACAAACTATGTCAATTAGATATGAACTAATTGCACTAAACTACCATTTTATATTTTATGCCTTTGTATACAGACAAAAGCATGTTGATATTTGTTTATCACTCTCTGATTGCTGAGCATATCTTTAGGTAAAATTCCTGAACAGCAATAGATATTACAAGGTGATTTTATTATTTCAAAGTCCTGAAAGTGACCACATTATATGGAGACCAACATTTATCAAAGGGAGATAATCTGATATCATGCAATAAAAAACCTTGATATAATGCCTCTCATTTTACCACACCTCTAGACGTTGGCATATGTTAAGGTCAACTTTTAACCTGCGCCAGGTTTCACTGAAACATGATGGTAATTGAGTAAGGATAAATGGTGGCAGTATATTAAGGTTTTACTGTACTATGGCAGCAGTATAATAAGGTTTAACTTATAATCATCATTGTAAAACAAAGTTTACTAGTTTTTGTAGTTGTGGTACATACCTAACTATATGTACTACTTGTCTTCAGAACTATATTCTCTTTTTCTCCCACCATATAATTACTTAAAATCTATTCTATTTGAGCGCAGATTTTGCATAAATCTTCCGATAGTACAGATACATATATAGATAAACATAAAAACGCATTACATTTATACTACTAGGAAAGACTCACTTAGCAAACAATGACTGTCCCATTATATCTTAGCAACAAAATTTGATCTTAGGCATTGTAACGCTTGAGCATGGTTATGAATATCCTTAAAATGCTTTTGTTGTGTAGAAACTTTTGTGAAAAAGAGGTTGTGGTTAATCAAATCAGTATTTAATACCCTTTTGAAGTAAGTGAGCTTTTCGTGCATTTAATGTTTTCTTAACAAAATGTTTCGTTTAAATTAACCACATAGTTTTAGATTGTTCACTTTTGTAATAAGCCTGTAAAAGTCTACTACGTCTGAATACAGTGTTGCTTAAAGAACTTTAGTCGCTAGTAGTCCTGGGCTGATAGACAATTTGATGTACACCACTATGTATACTGAGGTCACACCCAAACCACTACTTTTAGTGTGTTTGTCAAACTTAATTTTGAATCAAACTCAAATGGACCAATTAACAAACAGAAATTTCTGTAAAGGTTTATTAAGATGACAACTGTGAAATAATTAAGATAAATCTATATATTTGTACCACCAAAACTATCTGATTCTTCATATCTCTCTAGCAGCAACATATGCCAGGAACATAACTGAATGACATTCATATTGATAAATAGCCACAAGTACAAAGAAATAAATTGTGGTCAATAATAATTGATACAAACATCTACATAGCTATACCACCACTTCCTGCCCACTAAAGCAGTTATTTTTCTTGTAACATGTAACCATGTTAAAAAATTAACTGTTTTTAGAAATTTCTTCCTAAAAGCAGTGTATCATATTAAAAATTGAAAAAAATGATGTTTTTTTATGTTAAATTGTTTTTTTCTCTCTTTTTTTTTCTTTTTTCAAATGACGAGGATGATTAAATGCATCACAGATATGAAATGTGGGCAAAATTACATAAGCCAAGTTGTTATTAATTCAAAAATACTTCACTTTATTTTTTTTTCAAAGCTAAGCTCTTTCTATATTTGAAGCTTATATTCTGATGGAGTAAGTTATCTCAAAGTGATTATAGCAAACAGTAAAAAGTTCATGATTAATAGATATAAGAGTTCACGATTTATCAATATTAGAGTTCATGATTTATCGATATTAGAGTTCATGATTTATAGATATAAGAGTTCACGATTTATCAATATTAGAGTTCATGATTTATCGATATTAGAGTTCATGATTTATAGATATAAGAGTTCACGATTTATCAATATTAGAGTTCATGATTTATCGATATTAGAGTTCATGATTTATAGATATAAGAGTTCACGATTTATCAATATTAGAGTTCATGATTTATCGATATTAAAATTTTTGCTGAATTTCCAATATTTTGAGTTTATGAAATTCACAGTTAATAAACAAACAAAAAATTCAATCACTTGAACATTACTTTCTCACAATATATTACGTAACCTTTTGTAGGTAACTCTATAGTACATAGGGCTCAATTGAAATCTCGACACAAAACAGAATAGCAATGATAAAGAAAAGAAAGGTTCAATATCACAGACGATACATTTAAGTAGATGTCACCTGACAAAATATCAAATAAACGCATGATTAAAACAAACACAGACATTACACCAAGTAAGTGTCAAAACATTAAATAGAAAAAAATGTCATAAAATTCTAAATAAAACTTTGGGAATCTGTTTAAATTGATTTTTTTTACAATCCCTTTTAAAGTTTTTAAAAGCTTACCAGAGACACTATTTTCTGTGATTCTGGAAATTATATGCAAAGTTTAGTTTGAAAAAATTGTATTTAATGTTTTAATTCTGATGAACTAAAAGTAAAATCCTAATGGATTTGATACTTATGATAATTAACAGTATAACACCTACAGCAGGGAACCAATGTTAATCTAGATAAATGTTTGGACAAGGTAGCTGTTATGAGTTACTGATAACACTAAACACATCAATGTACAATTTTATGCCTTCAATGTTCAAATACATGTCAACATTAAAATGTTTCGAATCAATAGCACTCACTATATACTAATAGAGGTACTAAATTCTTTATAGAAATGTACCATGAAGATCACATCTCCAGTTACTAATGATATTTTGCCATATCAACAAAGATACGTAAATAAGGTTCTAAGGCAGAATGATTTGCAGTCAATTTTAGGTACGTCGTTGTACATATCAACATATACAGCTATATACATTTCACCTGTGTGGTTTACTGTCCGTCCTGTATTCTGACTTGATTAAGTGTATTTTCATCGTACACTCTCCAACAAAGTTTTATCAGCACAGTCATAGTTGTCATGAATAATTATTCTTTTTACTCAAGTTTTTGATATTGCTCAATATTAAATCAAATATTTTTAGTTTTATATAATTTCATTTCACTACATGAAACATTTTTGAATTGTTGAGCAGTGGTAGTGTTTTTGGGTCTGATGAATGTTTTCAGTGAGATATCAAATTTAAGTATATATATAATAATATTTGATTACTGCTAATAATGTCATTAATAACATGCTGATGTTGTTCCAGTTGCTTCCCTTTGACTGTAAATTTGCTCGGCAAAAATATCAATTACAAACAAAGACATATTTCATTGGCGCCTTAGAATCGATAATACATTTTCAAGAAAAAGCTGGTCCTTGTCTGATTAAACATCATCAATACCATTCATTTAAACATTTGAAATATTTACAGATGGAAATATAAGAAAGTTGGATAATGGGCCTTATGTACGTGGATTGTGGGTAATGATCATAAGAGAATGATGGGTAATTTACATATGGAGATGATAGTGTACCGAGTGGTTGTGTGGGCACTTAGGGATCAGGATTACACACATGTGGGGACACTTACAAAAAACATTATCATTAAGTACTCTCTGTCCTTCTTCTTTAAATCTTTCTGATGATTACAAAGAAAAACCAACCAATGTGTAGCTTTTCTAGAAGTACATGTAATAGATTCTCAAAAAATAAATAGTTCATATTGGTAAATCAGCTTTCTCACAACAGTGTTTTAGACATCATTTTACGTTGTGTTAACAGATGTACTTAAATTGAGTTCTATTCAATTTCCTGTTCTGGTTGATTCCAGATGGTTTGGTTTGAAATAAATGTTTTGAAGGTATAAAACCAGTGGTTTTAAAGATATTTGTTAAAATTAGATGTCTCTTTCTGTTCGCTTTTTTTTCAAATTTACTACCTTGAAGCTTCACATTATGATGAGGGAAGAATGGTAGAATATATTTGGAAATTTTATCATTTGTAATCATGAAAAAAAGAAGTTGAAAAAGGACTGAAAGTTGTGTGAAAGGCAAATAGTTACCATGCATAATGCTACATCTACTAATGGGTGATAAATTCATGATTTTTGTTGTTGTTGTTGATAATTTGATGAATGAAAACAAGTATGAAACTGGGACGATTTGTTTACTGAATACAAAGCTCCTAGTTCTCTGCTTTATATTCAGCCGCCCATCATTGCAAGCAGAAATATGAGTTAAAATTTGATCTTGATATTTCAACTTTTCAGTGTCAATGATTCAATAAAATATTATATTTGTATAATATATTATATAAAGGGTAACTGAAAATTATTGTATATTGTTCTGAGTGGTCACATGATTTATGAGGTAAACATACATCTATTTTTTCATATTGATATAAAATCAATTTAAAAATTGGACCAGGAAAAATGTTTACATGAAGCTGTAGATAAAAATGACCAGACAAGAATTGGTCGTCCTTATCAAAGGAAAACCAATTTTATTTCTGTTGTGATAGTTTGAGAGGTTTGTGACCGCATAAAAAAAAGCTGATGAAAATTAAAGAAAATGTCTGTGATGATGAGTCAGAATGAACTAAATATCCGGTGAAATTTGATGCATGGTCACAAAGGTATAGCACCATAAGTATCTGGTACAATGATAAATGTGTCAACAGAAGCAGAAAATTCTTTTTTTTTTTAAGTCACTGCTGATGTGTAAAATCATTGATTTTTGTTCTTGTGTATAAACTTTGACATTTTCTGCAGTATCAATAAAAATGATACTCAGATCTTTATTATGTTTTAAGTTAAACGTTCTTAATTTTTTTGTTTATAGCTTGATATCGTGTTAATTCGGATTGATATAAAATGACAAAAACAAAACCCGGCTTCTCAGAAAGCTTGATTACAATTTAATGACTGAATGTGATCTCCCCCAAACCATATCGGTTGTATTTCAACAAGGTATTTTGTCATTCTGGCAAAAGATGATCAGGTTTTATATGAATGTAATATACAGAGAGAGGAATGGATAAGCCCTACTTCTGGAATGATTCAATGATTTCTAAGCAAATTATTAGTTTCAAAATTTAAACATGCTTAGTGTTTGTCAGTGTAGGTGTAAGTTTTCTGTCCTTAAGCATTAAAAATGTGTATTAAACACAACAGTTTTTGCAACACATTAATTAGCATTAAATGACAAATGACATTTGACATTGGTGTTTGTCCAATATACTCAAGCTATCAATTTGATTAAAAATGGGAAAATTTTCTGAATTTTTTAAAAATTACACGAAGAAATAGCATTTGACAAGTAGTCTGTCATTTGACTGTATAATCCAACTTCTTCTCTGTCAGTGAAATCTTTGTATTCACAGGGTTATCTCCCTTATAACAGATCTAGAACTCTAGTTTAGCAAAGCGCTTGCTTTTGAACCTCAGCCCCATGTCATTCAAAAGTCAAACAACACAATTGTTCTTATAAACCCATTTGTTTGAACTGTTCTTATCCATTTGTTTTAATTCCTCTGTATTATATTTCAAAGCTAGTCACTTGCTATCACTTTTGTAACATTTTTTCCATGTGAGGATATGGTCACTTCATTGGTAGCAAATATTTAGCTGTAACTTTACAAGAGAATTTGACTGAGACTGTCTGTAGTTTCTTACTTTGAATGTTTGATCTGTTCGTTAGAACTCCTACAGCAATTGGATTATGAATATTCATAGAACATAGATGTCTGTTATAAACATTCATAACAGGCTTATGTTGAAAGACTTGAAACAACCAGAAACAGATTTTTAAACATCAATCTTGACCGGTTTTTACAAACCAGAAGTTTACTGTTATGATAGAAGGTTGAGTTTAGTTCTGAGTTGTAACACAGTTAATGTAGCAACACACAGGAGAATCCATGATGGCGATGACACAGATTGTGCTGCGTTGATGTCATCATCTGGCTGGGGTGTAATGACGGGAGGTTGTGGGCCATTGGTGTAGTTGATGGTGCTCGGTTTGTTCCCTGGCGACCCAGTCGAGGGCTCCTCTATCACTATTGGGCATTTCATTTTCTCTGAGGTGTGAGACTGTAACCATATATGTATCCCGAAAATCCGAAAGTCATCGTGAAACATGCACGTTGGTAACACTCTGGTATCAAATACGAACTGCAAAGATAGAAAAAACATGGGCCACTTAGCAACAAAAAATTAACATTTCACTTTTAAAATTATGCTGTCAAGATTGAGTCCAGAAGCTTAGAGTGGCATATAATGTCTTTCTAAGGAAATTAGTAAAAGAAAACCAAAGGGTATGTTATACCCTAATGGAAATACCTTCACTGTCACATACTTCACAACTATTTAACATTTTCATGGCAGACATTTTACATGCTCAAATATATAAACATAAATAAAATGTGTGTATATATATACCCTTCAGTAAAGAAATAACATTGTAAATAACATTTTTAGGTTGTTCATTCAAATGAAATCACCAGATCTTAGCATATGAGAATAGTTACATAAATTCACTTATTGAAAATAATAAAATAAGATATCCAAAATCAAGGGTTTCTCTCCTAAAGAGGGAAGGTTGGCAAGCATGCTTTTTGAAATAGATTTAAAAATCATAGGATACAGATAATATATTGTATAAAAAGCTTGTGTAGTGTTGTGGAACTCTACAAAGCTTTATCCAGTTAATAGACATACAAGTTTGGCACTCCTTGTTTTTGAGATAGTGATGTTCATATGGTACAGGAATATACACTGTTAAACACAGATAAAAACACTGCTAAACATAGGTAAATCAGGTACACTTTTAGGTTTGTATACAGATATAAACATAGGAAAACATGTAAACATCTGTTATGGATTTACAAATCTTTTGTCACAATCTCATCATTATCTCCTTTCTGATCCTATTTATGCCACATCTCACATTGACTCACAGCTTTTAAATTTTAATTATTTCATTCATTGAATAATCTGTTTGATTTTTTTTGCTGTTTTTAATCAGATCTTGGAATGTTCTGCTGTCTTGGCCAAATCATGATTTTTGTCTTTGATTCCAGTAATGTTCAAATGATCCATGTTTTCTACACTTGTATAGATAGATTTTGGTATATCTGGTATGAAAAATGACTGTCTAGGGGCCGTGTCTGTCAGCTGATGTTTTAGTTTTGAATTTAATGAATTGATGGGATATTTAAACAGGACACAAAACTTGTTAAAGAATTGAATACAGCAACATCTATTACCTTTCAACCCGAAGTTCTGTGGTGGAAAAGACTAACCCTGCCTTCGGATAATTATTTTTTGGTAAACTTTGGCAAATAAGAAAAGAAATTTGAAATTAATTTCATGATGGCTAGGTAAAATTAAAGTCATTAAAAGCTTTACTAAAAATAATTCAGTCATAGTGCAAGCTTTAAAGTGCCAGACAGAAAGACCTACAAGACACAAGGTCAACATGTTCTGCAATAGAGCTAAAAAGTACTGATGGTAGATTTGTGGAGTAACTGTCTGAGGACGAAAAGGTTAAATCAGTACATATGTAAACTGGTCCAAAATGGAAGATTAGTTTGTCTGTGCTCTATAAAACAGCTTGACAGTGTAATTAACTCTTTAGCCCAAGTGTTTGTCTGTAGTTGGAGCTCTTTATTATCAGTTATCCATTTGACAAATGTAGTTCCTCTGGCCATACTAACACAGTCCTTCCTGACATGTTCTCTGACAGTTTGTCCCCTTTATGATTCTCCTATTGTCAAGCGTTCCCCTCACCATACTAACACAGTCCTTCCTGACATGTTCTTTGACAGTCTGTCTCCTGTATGTCTTCTCCTTTTGTCAAGTGTTCCCCTCACTATTCTAACACAGTCCTTACTGACATGTTCTCTGACAGTTTGTCCCCTTTATGATTCTCCTATTGTCAAGCGTTCCCCTCACCATACTAACACAGTCCTTCCTGACATGTTCTCTTACATTCTGTCCCCTGTATGTCTTCTCCTTTTGTCAAGCGTTCCCCTCACCATACTAACACAGTCCTTCCTGACATGTTCTCTGACATTCTGTCCCCTGTATGTCTTCTCCTTCCTGACATGTTCTCTGACATTCTGTCCCTTGTATGTATATTCTGCTTTTGTCAAGTGTGCCCCTTACCATACTAACATAGTCCTTCCTGACATGTTCTCTGACGTTCTGTCCCCTTACCATACCTCCAGTTCGATTAAATAATTTGATAAAAAAGTTTGATGCTAGAGTTTCTTAATTTACTCTTTATCTTTTAACTTGTATGTTTACTGATATTGAAATACTTAAGGTTTTTAGGAAAGTAAGCAAACTTTTGCCTCTTGAGATCATTATCTGTTTTATTATACAAAGCTGTGGAATAATTGTTCAAGTTTTACTGCGCAACTATCAGGGTTATAGATTTGCGAAGGGAACTGACAAAGTCGAAATGCAAATGTCGGTCTGTTACTGTGGAGATGAAGCACCCTTGGCGACCATTAGAAGTACTTGTACCAAATATTGTGTTTGCTGCCTTATTTGACTGCCAAATCATCCAATAAGTAATCTCACACCTTGCTGTAAATATAAATCTAATTTCACTTCTCCGTATGATTACACAACTTACCTAGAACCCAGGGGTGATTCAACACTCTCTTGTAATGGATGGAAAGGTCGATATTTTCCAGGAAAGTGAATTTATATATAAGTGCAATATCCCTTAGTTTCATTATTTATTGTTACAGTGAGAACCATGGAGCTCACTGTCATTACATATATGTGGATCCATACAAAATATAATTCAACTAAATTATAGGTGTATTTCTCTGTATCTTGTGTATATTTATGAAAGCTTTGCATAGTTAATATTGACGAAAATAGAATTTTCTATCAACTTTTGGAAATACAACAATATAACTGTTGCAAATTGTTAATTTACCATGTGAAATTAATTGTTCTTGGCACTTTGAATGCATCCAGTCAAACCTCATTATGATGAAAACTTCTATCTTTTTAATTTGGCTTTATAACTTAGTCCCTACTTGCATATCAAAATAGAATTTCATCCATATATTTCAAGTATTTGTTTTTCTGGGTGAAGTAATTTTGAAGTAATATGGGGTTATACTTAAAGGTTTTATTCAAATTCAATGTCTCTGATGAGACAGAACTTTATGAGGTTAAGAAGACATTTATCATACTTGTCATCATAATATGCAAGACATTATGCCTATTTGACGATTGATTTAACAGCCAAGGTTACCGATAATTTGATCTGAAGGTCAGAGTAACTACTAGTAGATGTTTGACGGTAAAGATAAAAACATTTTGTCCGAAAGCGGATTGATCAAGCACGTACATTTGTCTTTGAGAATGATGACTTTGGGCCCTGCTACCTTGTAAATGCTTAGCTAAGTTCAGAGTGGAATCTAGAAAATTAATCTTAAAGACAAATACGAGGTAGAAGGAACTCTAAGGGAAGAAAAATTGTTTTCCAAAAACGTATTACCGATGAGGAACGGAAGAAATGTGACTTAATTAGATCAATTAAAATTGTGAAGAACCACACAAGATATGATGCATGCAAAATGATATCCATTTCCTGGCAGCAAATAACTTTTCTCTGTCATTTATTTGTTGAAATCTCTTTTATATTTTTACGATGAATGTGACCTGGAAGGCAAAATGTCATCATATGTAACGTATATAATTTATTCTGGTCAACATTTTTCTGTGGTTTTTGGCATTTTACATGGAACACCGGATGATTATGAGGTGCTTGAATGTGTCTGTTGGATATGTATAATGTCGCTACAGGATGTAGAAGAGACATTGTACATTGTTATCACATAATAGGTTCAGGGGAGACAATCACCTTTGTTCATTTATATGTCAAATTCATACATACATATTATCAAATGCCATATGGCCTTAAAATGTATTTTACATGATGAAAAATAAAAAAGGAAATTATGAGGGATTTAGATATATGCGTAGTATTTGTTTTCCAAATTGAATCATTATGTCTGTATTTATTTGTAAAATGTATTTAGTTTGATATTTTGTTTTTAGCTGGGAGGTGACAACACTGTATGGAAGTTCAAAGTCCATCAACAATTCTTTTATCATACTGTTTCATAGTCACGAACTATAAACAGCTATCTGCACCTACTTTTGAAGATCTTAATCTCTCTTACAATTATGATTTTATCTATATTGTTCGACATTATTCGACTCTACATGAATTATTTGTCATAGTAATTATTCGCATGCTACAGCTCTACAAAAGGATATAAAGCAGATGAATAATTTAGATCAGAAAATTGGGAGGAACAAATTATATATGTACAAATTGTACATTATTAGAGTGAAGTTGTTGACATTTTGAGTGTGTTGATGCTGATGGCCTGATGCTATATGGAGAAAGTTGGCCTACTATGGCTGTGAGATATGGGCCTAATGGTACATGGAGAACAGGACCTGGGCCAGACTCTACTGATGTATGGGACATGTTTATGATTCTGCCTCTGATTAATCATATTGAAATCACCTCTGTTGATATGAATTAATAACCATTAGGGTCAAATTAAAGGATGGACTACTGGTTTGACCATTCTATGAACTATAACCTCCATTACTCCATCTCTGGATTTATTGTTGATTTACGATGCATAGTGTGACCATAGATTGATAAAATCAAGTTCCTAAATTTCAATTATGAAAAGTAGTGCAACCATATGTTTTGAAGATTGATACCTGAAACAAATCCTTTAACCTTCACCTATTTCATACATATCTGCAAATTAATAAAAAAAAAACTTTTGTTATTGTTTTTTGTTTTTCAAATTTTTTCTTCAGTCTTCAAAGCTGAAGGAAGCCTTAGTAGTATAAAAATGCCAGTAAGTGATGATCATGGATCATATATGAATAAAGTAATGACGTCGCCCTAATAAGGAAGTAGTCGTCTTTAGAGTAAGTGCTTTTAGCTCTCTATAGAGGCATTATAGTAAGGTATTGTACTCATCAGTACGAAGAAGTAGAATTTCCTTATGAAGTTTTAGTACAATATTTTGTAGCTTATATCTCCAGGTTTTAAAACAACAATAAAATACCTGTCCTTACTTTAAATTCAGAAAAAACATCTTATTAGAAATTGGATAAAAACTCCATATGAATGTCCCTTTATATAAGATTTAATATACTGTTAATTAAATTGTTTTGATTCTGACATCATCAGACATCGTCATACTCTTATCTTGTGAGGGCATTAAACCTCAAAGAAAGAAGCAGTCAGATTGCCAATATAGAAAGCTACAGGCAGTCTGGTAAAGGTCAAGGTCATTATTTACACGATCATTTAATAAAGACTTATGTTAAAGTTTATGTTTCTGTAAACTTTGTGAGATTGTTTCTACTTTCAGACAGATTACAAGACTTTTCAACGTTTTATTGATACGTTGGCTGTAAGCTGTAATATTAACATCCAATCCAGACCATGATTGAGAAACTTTAAAGGTGTTTTCTGGAAATTTGATTTATCTTTGTCTGGAGAGTGAAGAGATGTTTGATACTATTTTAGGAATAAGAGGAAATATCATCGCCTAGATCTAGATTTATAGTGTTACAAATCTAATGTCATATAGGAGTTAAGATTACCATTGTGTCTAAACTTGGACAGATGTTACATTCTGTCTGTAATATCAGGAAAGTGAAACAATAGAAAAATGTCATATTAATATATTTACAAAAGTTGTCTTCCTCTGTTTTATAATTTTATTAGAATTAATTTGAATATTTTTCAAAGACTTGATGAATTCTGTGTAGGTTTACATGCCACTGGTTTCTGATTTATTTCCACTTTAAACACTTAAGGGATCAGTTTAGATATGGCAGCCCCATTAGTGGCTCTGAGAGATGCATTTTGATAAAGAGTAATAAGGGACTAAGTTCATTAAAATTTGACAAAAGCATATGCTTGGAACTCCTGACCTGGTGGTGAAGGTGTAACAGGAAACCAGACTCTTGTGTTGAGCAGATCTATTCCAAGGATATGGGCACACTAAATGTCACACGGATTCGGGTGTCAATAAGTTACCAAAGGCAGATAAGCAAGCTTTTCGACTGATGTGGAGCAAAAATTCACAGAACTTTGATGGTTGTTGAGCTTAAGACCATGTTGAATTGTTCATGGTCTATGCAATTTTAGTGATCAGTAAGCCTATAAAATAATGTGACATACAGGACCAGTTGAGTCAAGAAAATTGTATTTGGGGTATCTAGGAGTCAATACGATGTTACTTTGGCAAATATGGAGTCCAAACTTATTACTATCAGTGACAATTAAGCAATGCCCAGCATGATTTCTGATACCATTTAGTGGCAGAAATTTCCCGATTTGTATGCAGCCATATGACATGGTATTACACCATAGTACAACATGGATCTAAAAATATTTGTCTAAATGTATAGGAAATTGACTATTAAATTGCTGATGCATAGTCTCGCATGAAATGCATAACAATTTCACACCCCACTTTTGGATCTAGATATTAATTTTAGGGTAACTTGTGTACTCAAAGTCAAAGATTTCGGAATAACTGTTTACCAATTTGCTTTAATGGTGGTAGAAGGGGACAAATTTTGAAAATAAATTGAACCTAAACCTTGGTTTGCTGACAGATGAAAGAAATTTACTTACAGCATATGTTTGTGGAGTCATGCGAAACCAACTGATCTTGCTGCTTGAGACATCCATTGGCTTTCCTTGGAAAGACCAGCCGAAGGCGCCAAGTTTCCCCTCATTGTCATACATAAGGAATACTGGGTATATTTTCTCACATGGCAAGTCTTTAGAAAGATTTCGGAAATAGTGGAGACCTGAAATGATAGAAAGACAATACAATGAACAATGTCTCATTGAGATTTGGAATTGGTTGTGAAGACATGTTTTGTATGTAACAGTTACAAGGTATATATAAGTACTGTTAATATATTGTATTGTAGATACCCACTGACCATTGTCTTGTCAGACTCATTGCCTTTATAAAAACTGGTGGGACATTGATGAATTTTACATGGAAACTTCAGGCTGCAATGTTACTATAGTTGTTTAGTCTGAGTTGGAGCCAGATCAGTCATAAATAAGCATGAAATGGCACATTCAAGGTTTAGCTCCCTAGAAAAATTCTTTGAGAAGTAAATCAGGAATCATAAATCAGCTTCTTCATTACGTTTGTTTACTATAGGCAATTGCTTTTAGTAAGATTGAAATGGAATCATGTTTACATGTTAATAATTGCATAATGGTATGGTATGGTTTTTGGGCAACAAACTCCATCATTGAAAAATGAACTCTTGAATGAGTCTTAACAAACATTTCCTTTTCTTCTATCAGGACTCGTATCAAATTGAAACCATTTTGCTTAAAGTTCATGAAAAGGGCATGTGATTTTTATGTAACCATGGGCATGTTTTACAAACTTGAGTCAGGGAGTCACTTTTCTGACATATTGTTACACTGATGTAATCTTTATTTTCTGAAACATTAAATGAATATCAGTTCACTTTTAACTGTCTGTCATGTTCCAAACAAAACACAGACCAGTAAAGATAAGATAAATACTATCAAATATTTGTGTGGAGAAGGTGCTGCAAGATTTGAGTATGTGTTCTCCCACAAAAATCCAAATCAACATGTTGAGAAGGCGAAATCTTGGCACTGATGAATAGCTCATGTTATCATTATATAGTCCAGAACAAGATACTCTGTTTATTGGAATCTTCAGGTGTGTATTTATACAAAGATATAAAATACAAGTGGTGTTAAGTGAGGTTTCAGACTGTGGTTTGTCTTGTCAGGATATAGTGTTGAAGTGCTACTCCCTTAGATTGTGGGCAAGAAGTGTTACCAAAGACAATATGTTTATTGTCTGTCTTTCTGCATTTTCATCATAGATGTATAACTATGCATAATATTATTAATGTATTTGTATACCTCAACTAGCCCCAGTGTAGGTCTATACATACCTAATAATTTTATCAGTTGTAGATTTGAAATGCTACTTATGAGACAGTTGGCGGCAGAAAATGTAACTCAAAGTCAACAGGACAAAATATTTTACATCAAAGTTGTGCAGAATTTGTTTGTTTGCAAAATTATCGAGAATTAGCATCTAGGCAAAAGTCTTTTATGGAAATGTTTTCTTTTCTGATATAATATAGGTAGGAAAGTATTGTGTACGTTTTAGCAGTTATCGCTGATAACCAGTTTTACGTGGAGGCTAGCTTGTTACAAGGATGGGATGGTCGGTGATTTGTTGGTAAAAGGATGGGATGGTTGGTGATTTGTTTATGTCTTTTGTGGTGTCAATATCCAAAAATAGTTATTTCTTTCTGCTCAGATATCAGCAAATACATTTTTCACGGTTAGATGGGAGGTTTCTTTACGTGTAATAGTTGGCTGTGTAATTGTTTCCTCACTGATTGAAGAGTCATTGCCTCGCATTGTCATCTCTTCAACTAGAAATCAGACTGTAATTTATCATGAATGGTTCAAAATTATGAAGAGTAAAACTCTCTTGAGAGATATCAGATTGCAGATCATTTTGGTGTGTTATGTCTATATAGTCGTGGGATTCTCTTCTTTAAACATCTTTATTTTCCTACTGATACCCAATAATCTTACTTGAAATGGCAACCATTTTGTCATTTTCACGTTTGATCAAGTCTACTTTCTGTAACCTTTTGTAAACCACTTGAAATGTACCAAAAAGTAGAAAAATGACTGAACCCAAAACTCCTAACGAGATCTGTTTTTGCAGTGATTGACATATAGATCAAAATATATGTTTCTGGATACTTGGTTGCCATGGTAGTAGAGTTCTGATGAAATAACCTATATCTGATCTGTTTTAAGAGCTAGTTTAGGAGGGTTGGAAGAGCAAGGAAAATATTTTTCATTAATTCCACTGATTGTGTCTGACAAATGAATTGTTTGTAAAATTTATGAGCAGAAAATGTTATCAATATTTTGTTACACAACAAATAGGTAGTAAGCTAGACAATCTGAGATTTCTTCTCCCTCTTTGATTGAATCTTCCTGGAAAAAGTGGTTTAATCATTTGTCAAAGTTGTTACTTTAAATAGAGTCCATTTTCATTTTAATACATGTAGGAAAGTTTCTGTTTGTCCTTCACACATAAGTTCAATTAATTGACTTTGACCTGGAAAATGGATCTTGTAACCTAGTGACTCTAAGATATTAATTTAGATTATCAAAATTTGAATGATAGAACTAAGTTTGGTATTACATAATCAAGTCACTTATACATAAATGGTAAAAGACAAATTCAGTCTGCTGTCAGTGGCTGAAAGCAAAATACTAAATATGAAACAGAACTTCTTGTATTTATAGTAGTGTTGGCAATGAGCCAGGTTGCAGCCATATTGACAACACACAGCACGAGGAGACAAAACAGTAGCCATCATTGACAATTAGCACATATTGTGTTATCATATAATTTTACTGAAATCCTATTAGATTTATTGGGATTTGATATTTTTCCTTCTCAATTTGATTTTAGGAGTCCAGTGTTACTCCTAATAAAAGTTTGTGTTTGAATGTGATCTTCTACCGATAACATCATGTACATGTGCTTGGGAGTTGACTGAACCCCCTGTTACAGAAATGGCTTGGTTTTCAAACATGCATCTTCTTTTGTCTGATTTCTCTCATTTACAAGGTTTTAATGCACTTAAAAATCAGTCTAGTATGGCGACAATATGTTCCGCATCACTGAGGTCATCAAGCATGATTCATTGTTCTGTTGCAGTAGTCGTAGCTGTTAATAATTAATTCACCTTTAACTAGTGTTTTATAGCTTTACTTTGGCTAAAAATAGCATCTACAACTCTTGAGAGATTCTGTCTTTTAAATTTAGATATTTTTTTTTCGAAATTAAAAACCGGTTTTCAGTTCATGAAATTATAGATTCATATCAAAATGACTTGGAATAATTTCTCCCAAATAGTCAGGTTTAATGCTGTTATTCCGAATAATTCATAATATTGATGATTAATCTTCTTTAACGAGAATCCATGATCCCCATACATTTATCTGGCTACATAGGTACTATATACAGAAGAAGTGATATTTGTCTGCATTTACCGAAGTGAAGTCTGGTCTCTGTCACAAAACATGCTGGCTAAACCAGAGGCATAGCCAAGTTAATTAGTTTGGACCGATCAACTTGATTTATTATTAAGTTGATGAATGTATTGCGAAGAGCAAGTGAATTTCCTAAATAAACAATTCTGTGATATGGTTTTTGTCACTGTGCTGTAATGCCATGCCACTTTGTCTGTGCTGTATTTGACATTATTTCTAACTGCAGCACAATCCACTTTCTGGAATACTTTAAATGTTTTTAATTGAATCCCTGGAAAATAAAAATTGCTCTAAGGAAAATTGGTACTGATTGTAATTTGGAACTCTTCTTTTCATAGAGTACACAAATTACTGAAACTGAATGTTGACTTGATGAGTTAAATGAGGATCTGTATTTCCCCCAAGAAGATTAAAATGTTTCTCACCTTGTAATTATGTTGATGACCTCATTCATTACCTTGCAATTGTTTAATTATATTTTTCTGTGTTTTTCTAAGCAAATTAACATTTGCAGAGCTTAGTTGTTTGAACTCTCACTCATGGTGTAATTAGATACACCAATGTTAAAATTTCGTTATTTTGAATTTTGAATATTTTTTTGTCCCTGTAACATTTTCTTGTTGGAATGAGATTAATTTTTAATTCTGCTGTATGTCTGTCACTGATAACATGGAATCTTAAGGATAAAAAATCACTGAATTGATAGATTTCTAAATGATACATTTCCATTTCTAAAATCTACCGGTCTCTTTCGTTTGATGTTAAAATTAAATGTGCACTTGTCAACCTGTTTGTTGTTTAACACTGATCTTCAGAGAGATTAAAAATACCTGACCAATATGGGTGACTAAACCTGAGAATGACCTTTGTCTATAAAACAACTGACCAGCCCATTCCACACACTTTTCCTACAATTCCACTGAATTACAGCTGGCACTTGTTACGTCTCCTTGGTGCTTTAATTTAGAATTCTCCTATTACCATAATGGTGCGTCACGGAGAAGATTCCAGGAACAAGAAGTGAGAAAACCAACCATTTCTTGGCTTCTTTTCCATGTTGGTTTGATTTAAAGCGAATGTAATAGGGGCTAATCCTAACCAGCAATTGGCCATGTTGGTAGACCTTTGCATGTGCCGCGACCATTACATGGCTAGACAGTACAAGAGTAGTGTTGCTTCATATTTTTCTCTAGCTTCATATTGACATTCCCCATATTAGCCTTAAACAGTCCTTATATAGTAAACGTGGGTCACCTGATAGCTTGTAGTAAAGTATGGCCAACTGTCAGATCTAAATTTCATGAGAGGGTGAAGAATATGCCCTTACGTTGTACTGGGTAGGCGCTATCATCGGTAGCTATTGGTTACTGTGTCACACCAAAGTAAATAATTGAAAGTGTGCTAATTGAAAGATGAAAGAGAATCATGAACTACAATGTAATGATACATAATTCATCCATATACTGGACACAAAGAGTTCATGGATAAAATATAAAGATCTTTACAATGTCAGTGTGAGGGTGAATACTATTAAGGTGAATGTCTTTGCCTGGCCAGCTCTCTCGGCAGACACACATCTCCGGAGGGAGTTTCAAGGTGTCGCATGTTAATCTTTTGACAAGAGAACGGACATTGATTGGCACCTGCTGTCGGATAATTATGTCACATTTCAGAAATTTGGTCACAGATTTGATTGAGGATGGAAGGCAAGACACATTCTGATAATTACTGTAGTATTTGTGTGAGATAATCAATCTCTCACCTCCACTGTCCAGCATCAGTAAGGTCAAGGTCGAGTTAAATGTATTTTAGGTCAGCTGAAAAGTATATGACACCTTCAATTATAAAGGAGAGGGACACATATTCCCTCGCCAAAAGGCTGTACTAAGATTTTTTCTCTCTAGAATTTATGATAGGTCTGTTCAGTCCAGAGATTTTACCCTATAGTATCATAACATCAAGTTCTACATCTAATCAGATTCTGGTTTGCATTGGAATGGGGACTTTCATGTCTTAAACATGTGCTTGTTTATATAGAATCCCTAAAAATTTACTTAGTCATAGTAATTTTTGCTTAAAATGTTTTCTGACATCATAGATAAAACATGGACAGCTGATCTTACACCAGAATCAGTCCCCTTTGTTCCTTCGTTCAATATAATGAGCTGATGGTCATAGTTATCTTGTATTTTCTGAGCTCATCTAAGGTGATAGAATATAATAGGATCATCCTGATTAATAATTACTTCAAAGGTTTCTAGTTTTGATGTTTCTTAGACATTCTTTTTTTAAATTTTTGTGTCATGCACTTAAAAAAACAGAAAAAAAGAGAGATTTCCTGTTACTTTCTTGCTTTGGCATATAATCATTGGATACGTTAATCAAAGTTCAAAGCTACCACTACGACTGTCACGGAAACCCCTCTATACTTACCCATGTTAGGAATACAGCTTCCTGGTCTCCAGATTGGGGATAAGTCCTTGGCATGCATTGCTATCTGTTGGTACATGGTCACCGGGTCTGACCCCATTTGTATGTAAAGGCCTTTACCTAGGGTTATGCCGATCCGTGCTATTGGGTTACAGATCAACTTTGGATGTTTGAAATAAGCTGAAAAAAAGTTAGATAAAAAACTAAAAATTCAATTTTTCAGTTAATTCAGGATGCATTGAATTATATATATATTTTTTTGTGGATTCAGCCTTGAAATGTAAATTATAGGATTGATGGAAATATGACATCCATAGTATTATTATGATTTACCAACTTTCAAATTAAATGTGATGTGCATTCCAATTTACGTGTAAAGTTTCACCTACAGGTTTATCTTTGAAAAAGGATTTGTATTTCTAATGAAATGATGACTTCTCACTTAGAATTTTGTACCATTTACTAGAAATGAAGATCTTAAGATATTTAATACCACATGTTAACAAAGAGAAGCCCCCAGTACTTGCTTGGTTAATTGAATTTAAAAGGTATTAAATTAAATTACTCAAATTTTAAGATTGAATTATATCTTATTTTGGGATAATTTTTTGCTAAAATTCTAGAAATGTAAACTTTCACTTTCAGTGTGGAAATGGAAAGAGGCATGAGTGGGGATGTGAGATAGGGAAAGGAGAGGGAGGGGGTAATCAAAGGGGCTTTTTGTTACAGTTCAAATATTGTCAACCCCAGCAGTGAATCAGTAATGTATGATACATAAAAAATTTCTGTCTAATCAGAGTATCTTTAATTTTCTAAGTTAAAACTGATTTTGTATGAGAGCACATTCATAATCAGATTTATTTCTCAAGATACATAATTTCATTTTGAACTGCCAGAAGCATTTAGTTTGAAAAGATGTGTTTTTGTCTATGTGGGTATTACATCGTCGGCTACAAACAGGAAAATGAATGTTCTTTTTCGCATCTTACAGTCTCTGCTCTCCTATAAATGCTGAAATCATCATTTCAGGATTGACGTATCAGGGGAAATAAGTGGACGAGAAATATAGAATTTCATAGTTAAAATAAAAGTCAAATCTACTTGGTAAAATTTCAAATTATTGAAGCTGAACAGGTATTGCGATATCAGATTGCTTTCTCCATATTTCTTAGTGGTGAAAGATTTTGTTGTCTCATCTTAGTGCTGAGATTCTAATAACTCCATTAGCCCTGAGATATTGCTGATAGAAACATGTCTGCTTGTCCACAAAAATTAATAATACTGTATTGGGAAGCTATAAATTTAAATGTATGGAGGTTGGCAGCTGTGTGGCAGACATTTTGTGAGTGTTGTGTTGATAATTTGTAGATCTCTATTAAAATGCTAAAACTGTTAAGTGCTTTTCCAATGATAAATGCAACTTGACTGATTTCAGACAGTGAATTTCCATTTGAAAAACCAGTCATTCTGCTCATCACAATATTTTCATGTTTTACGTGTAAAAAATAGAGTATGACCTCTGTGACCTTGATCAAATCCTCACTTGCTTGTTGATAAATGTTTTGCCAAAAAGCTGAGTACAGTATATATAAAAACAAATAAACCCTGTACTGTGATACATATGTGTTGGAATAGTGCTGAATATTTCAGAAATGAAATATCCAAAATGGGAGTCGAAAGTATGGCTGTAAGATGGGGATTAAATCCCTCTAGATGTAGATTTCATCTGTCGTTTCAGCAGCAAATTGTATCAATGTAATGGAAAAAAATGATCAGTCGATTTATTTGAATGCATTTTGCATGTTCATTGCCCTTGGGAGAGAATATAGTTGTACAACATTGTTTTTTGTGATTCTTGGATGGAGGTAATTTACTGTATAGACCAGTAACTAATGGACATCCACACCCAGGCAGCTAATACTTGTGCTGAAAATTGTGATTTAAAAATTTACTTTGACAGGTCGCTATAGAATGAGGTGATGTCCAGACTGCATGTATTAGATCCTTCTTTTAAATAAAGGCACATTTACAAAATCTTGAAGATGTAAAAGGACGGTTTCAGAATACTGTACATTGCTTGGATTGGCTGTTTGAGTTTCTTTTTACAATGTGTTTTCTTTGTTTAAATCATTAATCTCATAATTTTTTACTGTTTTTTTAAAAACAAATTTCTGAAGACTTTTTTTTTATCTATGCAAGGGAGATAACTATGATGCATGAAAACACCTTTGGGGTGTATTGATTACATCCATCTGCGTTACAATGATGCTAGTAAACACGACTAAACCTCCAGTGGAGAACTGCTAATCACTGGTAAAAAGATTTCACTTAAAACCACTTTGTAATTAACAACGTATTCTGTTTGATGTCCAGGTTCCTTTTATAAAAGTTTTTTTATCTAGTTTATTGATGAAGGGAGGTTGAAAATATCCCTGAAGTTTGCCTGGAGGTATGGACCTGTATCAATAGTTTGAACAAATTATTTGCCAATTTTAATTGTTAAGTAGGTGCTGTCAGCAATTTTCAGTGATCCTACAAACCAATCTACAAAGTGCACCTCACATTTTCTGTAGCAGCAGTGTTTCCTATCTCCTTGAAAATGAGTCATTTTCTGCTATGTTCACAAAATATCACATAATTAATTAATATTCTTTTGAAAAACAGGCTCCATAGGTTTTTCTTTCTCTGATTTTTTATTTTTGAAATGAGGTTTGATTAGAATAATATACCAATGGAAGATGGGTAGAAGTGATATCAACTATTATTGGTTACGAAATCTTTTTGGATTCAATATTCCGATATTATGTGAATGTCTATGGAGATGTTGATTGAAAGATTAGCATAATTATAAGGAACTTTCAATCTCTTTACAAATGAAAATTAATTTTAGACATTCTACAAAAGAGGATGCGACTGTCTCTTTCCTCAACATGCCAAGACTTGTAATATTATCAAAGATAATTTATGTCTTCGTTTCATGATTCACAAATGATGACAAATAAATGAATGTGATTATGCTTCTTTCCCCAAAGTTAGTGTCATTTTTTGTCTGCGATTGAAAATGATGAGTTGAAACCTACCACTGTCATTAAGTTTCACGCATGTCGCCTTAAAACCCGTCAAGCTTGAGAAGTAATTATAACTTTTTTACTAATGGAGGCAATAGATCTTGTGTCCTCACTCGGAGTTCCGATGAATAAATTCTAGTGGAAAAAGAATTACATATATCATTTTGGAGACAGAGACATCTTTCTATTTTTGCTACAAGCAGTTTTCTTTGCTTCTAATTTCAGTTTTTTCTGTTGGTAATTTTTCATCATTGTCACGTAATGGAGAACAATTTGGCATTGTGTTGTTGGCAAAAATTATAAATGGCTTCACTCCTAAAATCTGTCCAATTCAATTTCACACCCCTGTCGATGACCACTTGGAGTTACCATGGATACCATAGATCCCTGAAGAGTTCCATGGCAATGCTATAATAGATCTGTAGTATGTATGTATATTTCCGTGCGAGCCACATCATTTTTGTTGGTGACCATCTGCAGGGTATAGTTGTAATTAGTAAAAGAATGATTATGTGTCTGTGTATATGTTCACTGAGGCGTCTTTTTGTCTATTTGTCTGTTCTGAAAGATATCGTATGCTCTTGATCAAAGGTCAAAGTATTTATTGGAACTATAAGTCACAGTATCTGTCACAATTATAGCTTTGTTTCATTTTATCTAAGAAAATTTCACACTAATTATAAATATTCAGTTTTAAGTGACCTTTATGAATTTTGTTTCATGATTAAAAGAGTTAGAAACTTTTATATGTAGATAAGGTTTTCCAGTTTTTAGTCACATTTTGACTTTGTTTCATGGTATTAAACTGTAATTAAGGCCTTTAAAGTTTTAAGTTTATAACTTTGTTCATGGTAATTTAGAAACTTTTTTTACTGTGGTTAACGATTTTTAGTTTATGCTTTTTTATTTATGTGTTTTTGATAATGTGTATGAAAACCATTATAAATTTTTGTTAGATTTTTTCTAAGATTGTCTGTGATGATAATGTTATGATGGTTCTTACCTGTCACAGTATACATTTGGATACCGTCTATAATATCTCCGATCATAATTGGAGGCATCACATCTATAGGTGGTAAAGGTATACTGTCGTTTCTGGTGTTGAATCCTTTCATGTTTCCCGGAATCTGAAATATTTGAATAAAATTTGCATTATATATGTATCTCAGAACTAACAGCAGATGTTGAAATAGATTTCTTATTTAAAAACTATTTGAATAAAATAACATTTAGGATTCAGACTTTCATGTCTGCGAGGGCTCTGCTCCCATGGAACATTAAGGAAGATAAACTGAAATACATTGGTAACAGTATGAAGAAGTCAGAATCACAGTAAATTTAGCGGATCAATTTAAATGTTACATATTGCAGATCGTTGTTACCTCTTCAAACTTAATAAAAAGATCAATAAAAGACAGAGAGGAATACAACAAAAATTTGTAAAAACAATGCTAATGGGGTTATTTAGCATTAATATGCTGGCAAGGAAGTGGTGAGACATTGTAATATGGATTTAGAACAGTGCTGTACAGATATGTAACACATTTACTACTTATTACAAACAATTACAGCATTGCACAAGATGTATCGTGTACATTAAAGGAATGATAGCGGTAATTATATTACTCATGTGGGTAGAATTTACGGGGATTTTCAAATTCAATGAAAAAACTCATTTATGGCAGGGTTTGCATATGGAGTGGTAAACCAGCATTTTAGAACTAAAACCATTGTTGAATTGCACATATACATCAATTCTAAATTTCTGTCAGTAAATGTAGGCATGATGCAGGTTTAATTTTCATGTTCATTGTTTGTTTAAATTATTGCTTTGGCATCAGTGATATTCTCAAAGAGACTATTTTGTGGTTATGAAGGAGTACAGTTTGATGGCAATTCAATATTCTAATCATAACCAAATTAAGAAGATATTGTAAAGGGTCAGTCAAGACTTGTATCATACAATAAAATTATACAGGTCCATTACAATACCTGTATAATAAAAAATATACCTGGCAGTTTATTTGGCTTGAATACAATACTTGTCATTGCTGTTAGAATTTCTTTACTATAAAATTATTTCCCCAAGGCATCAGAGATGTCAGTATACGAAACCACTGTTGCATGTGTGGAGCAGATGAAATTAAATAATTCTTCAAGTAATGATTATTAAGAAAACATTTCTGTCTTGCTGTAATTCTGATTTATGTGTCCATGCCATTGTTGAATGCAATTGTTTAATTACATCAAAAAATAATTTTATTTATCATCACAAGAGATTATCACTCAAAATTTCTTGGTAAATTGCAGAGAAAAAATTTGAAGGTCATTGCAGATTAGCTGGAGGAAATTTGATCAGTTTGTTAGCTTTTGTAATTGCCACTTGTTTTCTATTACTCAAAACACTCCATGCTTTGACAGTATGACATAGAAAAGCTGAAGTTGGCGCGACACAAGTTAAGTCTTTCTATAACACTTATTGGTGGTTATAATGTTCCATTTGGCTTAAACAATTCAGATTGGCTCAGATACAAAGACAAATTATCAGGTGGAAAAAATGGACAGAAAACAGTAATGATCAAGTAATTGGGAAGTTCAATTGCAGACAGGAAGCAATTGAATCCTGGAAATTGTAAAAATGGCACTGAAACTTGACAAAATCCCGCCAGGAAATCAAAGCAAATTTAAAAACAATTTGTCAAAGTTGTTTGGTATCAGTCAGTTTTGAGTGAATATTTACGCACACATTTCCTCAAGGGCTGGCTAATTTTCAGCTCGCAGCTCTTTCGTAACAGAAATCGCTGATTTGTATTGATTGAAGATCAAAGCATGTGAGAATGTCACACCTATCGATATAGAGAGATTGGAATTTATGGTGGTATACTGATTGAAAGAGGTGCTTGATGGGAAGGGATAGGTGCAAGTCGCAATTGCTTTAACACACCAGCGGGTAACATATCTTATATTTAGTTGTATAATATAGAGAAAATTAATTTTCTTTTGATTTAGTCTGGAATAGGTGAAAATTTAGGAAACGATTAGTTTTTGAAACACTCGACAACCCTCCTCCCCACCTGCCTCCCCTTCCAATCCATTACATCTCAGTTTTTGGTTGATTTTCATTAGCTTTGGTCTTCAGTACTTGTTCAAGGGATTGTGAAGAAAGACATATGGTGAATAGCACCTTTCGGTGCAAATTCAGAATTAGATACAGTAATGCTACAATGAATGAACCTACAGCATACAGCTGGCTATCCTGGAATTGTCAGTGATGCTAAGGGCCAAAATTGTTGAAATTTGTCAATACAACTGAGGGAACAAATCTGTCAAAATCAATGTCAAAAATTAGATGGGCAGAAGTAATGACCCTAAATTTCAGACACTCTTCAAAAATTTCAGACACTCTTGGGAGAGAAACAAGCAAAGATTTCAGACACTCTTGATTTCAGACACTCTAAATTTTAGGGACAGAATCAATAAATTTTGTGATTTTTAACAGTTATGTTCTGCTCCTGAAATCAGGTACATTATCTGCTTCATGTCACTATTAAGAATGGACATAAGTGAGATGTTTGCCCACAAATAAGGAATTAAAAAGCATGGTGTTTTGGACAGAAACAAGCAATAATTTTGGTCACTCTTTGGGACAAAGACAAGCAAAGATTTCAGACACTCTAAGGGACAGAAACAAGCAAAAATTTCAGACACTCTTAGGGACAGAAACAAGCAAAGATTTCAGACACTCTTAGGGACAGAAACAAGCAAAGATTTCAGACACTCTTAGGGACAGAAACAAGCAAAGATTTCAGACACTCTTAGGGACAGAAACAAGCAAAGATTTCAGACACTCTTAGGGACAGAAACAAGCAAAGATTTCAGACACTCTTAGGGACAGAAACAAGCAAGTTTTTTGAACGCTCTTAGTTATAGAAACAAGTGATATTTGCAGTTTTTATCTGGAACAGAAACCTGTTTAAGTGAGGTGTTTAGTTACCATACTTTAACACAGAATTTCCAAGTGATCTAATCAGAGTAAATGATACTGTTGACTCCTAATCACTTGTGAAAAATGGCTGTGCTCAGATTTTCTTCAGTTAGGAAGCTGCTTGAGTTTCTTAATTAATCCTGATAGTGTAGTGAAGGAACATTAATATCTATAAATTCAAAGGGGAAATATCCTCACCAAGTAGCTAGTCATCCCTGTTATGGATATTGACTGACTTTAGAGGACAGGAAGGCTGTTTCATGCTTTTATTTCCAATCTTATTGCTATAAAGGATTTTGTTAATGATCAATAAAGGATTCATCTCCATATGTAAGGTATGATGTAAATTTTCCTTAGGAAATCGTAAGGTACCATGTACATATTTCTGAGGGTACTTCAAGGTATGATGTACATTTTCCTTAAGGAACATTTAGGTACCTGTACATATTTCTGAAGGTACTTCAGGTATGATGTACATTTTCCTTAGGGAACCTTTAGGTACAATTTACATTTTCCTAAGGATACCTCATGGTACCATGTACACATTTATGAGGGTACTTCAAGGTTCCATTCACACATTTCTGAGGGTAACTTTATGAGGTACAGTGACCAATGACTACAGGGCTGGAGGTCTGATTGTGGGTCCTAAAGAAGAATATTGTATACCAGACAACCACCTATGGCTGGTAAATTAGACTTTAATTAGGTAAGTACATGAAACCTGCTGCTAATCTCTAATTTCTCTTCACAAAAACAATAACGAAAAGGTCACCTGCCATCATTAAATTAAGATAGCACCGCCCTTACAGATCAATAAAACCATTTTGTCTGTGTCCTCACTTCTATCACTGCAATGAAGACAGAAAAACAAAAAGGAAGAAGAAATGTTGATTAAAAGATGAATGTTAACAGATTCTTTGATTTATACTTAAAACCATTTTACTAGATGGTGTTTTAGTATTTTGCAATTGTAGAGATTCACAGACAATTTTAAGAATATTGTGCTTAACAACAGGAATATGAGTTGAAAGTGTTCTTTTTCTTTTAGAAGTACAATGTTTACATGTATAAAGCAAGACAAAAATTTTTATATTTCTCATGACTTTTGGGGAGCTAAACATAGCAGTAAATTCAAATATGCCATCACTATAATTGTGACAGAATTCAAAAGGGGATGGACAAGAAAGGAGGATGTGACAATGCTTCCTGAGAGCCCAGCGTTTTGTACTTTCCAGTATGACATAATTGGACTTGATCTCACCCCTCCAAGGACCCCATGTTCCATGTCCTTTTAAGGTTTTTTTAATGAAGAAGAGTTTCATGATTTTTCTCTCTGGGAAATGTTAACACTGAGGCCTGATTTTATTAAAATGATGTCTCCACGTCAAAAAAGACAGGGGCTATGGTCACAGCATGGAATAGCAGCACGATAGGGTCAGAGTTTTGTTCTTGGTCAAAAGAGAAGTGATAACAACACCATTTATAAGTCTAACATAATGACAAATTCAAGTCCTCACCATGGGATTCCAAAATGGTGGTCAAGCCATCTTAATCAATTTCAAAATGATTTGCAGTCATCTTGCTTAAGCAAATCATATGACTAGACACACAGGGTTGTTAATGTCAATTAAAAATTTCCTCCTTGGAACTCTCATTTGTGGATAGTAAATGTACACAATACTATTGTATCTAGCTCACTCCACTAAGACTTTTTTTATCTAACTTGAAATTTGATATAGTGAAAATATTGCAGAAGATATTTGGAAGAAACTCTGATTTGCTCTGCAAAATTTTCTAGAAACTGGCGCCATGTCGGATATTACTTGTCTATGTCTAATAATAAAAGTTACATGTCAATTTGCAGTTCAACAAGGTTCATTGATCAAATGTTATATGTTGAAGGTTGCCACATTAGCTGCGGATCAATGAAGACTTTGAAAGAATTTTTTTTAATAATGATAAGAAAAAAATCAACTTTTCAAAAGAATATTCCAAGGATATGGCTATATTTGGGGGAGCAAGCTATTGTTGTGTTATAGCTTGTGAGATGAAAGTAGAACATGTATCATTAGCGTGATTACTTTACAGTCAGGCATTGATAGGAGTGATAAGGCTTACTGAAGGATCTGTCAACAGACAGAC